CATGTTTTCTTTTGCAGCCCTTTTGGCCCATGGGCACGGGCTGTGCACGTGGCTTCCTGGCTGCTTTTGACACAGCATGGATGGTAAAGAGCTGGGACCAGGGAACTCCTCCCCTGGAGCTGCTGGCTGAAAGGTGAGTATCGGAGGCAGGGCTCACAGCTGGGGACAGGGCCGGGTTATAGCACAGGGAGGAGATAGGGTAAGGCTGCCCATTAGGCGGCTCCTGGATGAAGCTGGAACCTCAGTGTCCTCTCGCCCGCCTTCCCATATGTAGCTTGATTTGATCATTGGGGTCCCCAAGGAAACTTTCTCCATCATGGTCTACCTTTATCAATGACTTTCTCTGAGGTCCAAGACCTAGTACTAGATGCCAAAGAGAAATCTTCCTCTGGGCTGGCCCGGAAGGTGGGGCTCCCTGCCCTGCTCCATCACCAGGAACGAGAAGAGGTAGAGGGAAATCTTCTGTGGAAGTGCTGAATGTCCTGCCCCATAGGGGCCTGGGATAGCTGACCTCGCTGGCCAATTCCCATGCTGAGATCCTGGGCTTCCTCCCAGGTCCTTGCTGTTGCCACGTGTCTATGACAGCTGGTGGACTGGGAGAAGTCAGAGCTGTTGTTTGGGGACAGGCTTTTGCTGGTCTCGGGTGTGGACAGGCCCCAGGAGGCAGCGTGGCTGAGTGGCGGTTATAGCAAAACCACAGGTCGCTGTGCTGCCAGCTCTGCCCGGGGGAGGAGGCCACCATCCCAGTCTCCTGGACTCCCTGTCTCCCTTCGGCCCCTTTGAACCTCCCCTACTTTGCAGATCTCAAAAACCACAAGGGCCAGGCATTGCAGGGAAGGGTTATACAAACACATTTAAGAAGCCCTTGAGAGCTGGGAAGGGGTGGGGGAGGAGGGGGACAAAGGCCGGAGACTTCAAGAGCAGTCCCTGACCCTGGACTCTGCCTGCCTCCAGAGAAAGTCTTTATCGGCTGTTACCTCAAACAACCCCAGAAAACATCAACAAGAACTTTGAGCAGTACACGTTGGACCCGGGGACGCGGTACCCAAACCTCAACTCCCACTGTGTCCGGCCCCATCAGGTATGTCCTTCCCTGGAGCTCTGTCTGGGTCACCCTGCACTGAGCAGTGGGAAGGAGGGGTCACCTAAAACCTTGCCTCATCCCTGGGAACAAGGCCACCAAAGCCTCTTGACTCAAAGGTTGGACCAGTTCCTCTCTCTAGGAGAACCATGAGAGTCACATAGAGTCTGCATCTCTCTAGCCCACAGGGGAGAAATAGAAAACGTAAGTCTGTGTCCACATGTGTACATATGTTTATTCATCCCCGTGCACATGTGTTGCTAAGCATACCTCTCTCAAATCTACTTGGCTGAATATCGGGTGCTTTCTGTCCATGGTCCTAGAGTCCATTTTTTTCTCCCATTGACTCAGAGCCAAACAACCCCCGATCTCTTTAGTCAATAGCACAAAGAATGGTATGAATTTTAAAAGTTAGCCAATGGCATATGTTTACACTTGAATTCTTCCACATTTGGATAGATAATTGAGATCATTGCTCTGTGTCTCAGGAGGCCTGGGTTCCCTTGCTGAAGGCCCAGGTTCAGAGGCCCTGAGACTAGACTTCAGGGAAAAACTGGTCGTCAGCTGTGTGGTCTCTCTTACTTGTAGGTGAAGCATTTGTACATCACTAAGGAGCTGCACCGATCCCCTCTCGAGAGGCTGGGCTCAATGAGGAGATCTGTCGGCCTCTCCAGGCAGGGTAAGCGACCTTCCTAGGACCCTGGTGAGGCCACTGGGAGGGACTTTTCGGGTAGGAGGCCTGCTGAGTGGCCATGGGGGCGTGAGCGCTGTAGGCAGCCTGGCTCTGCTCTGATGACCTGTGTGACCTTGGCCAGGCTCCTCTCCTCTGTACTTTAGTTTCCTGTTTTGTAAAACCAGGACAATGACACCTCTACAGTATAATCATCATAAAGGAATTAATATGTGTCGAGTACTCAGCACCTTAAAGTGAACTGTGGAATTACTTCACTGAGACTTGCTTCCCCCCACCCTTTTGTTTCCAGCATGAGGGACTTGTCTCCCCAGCTAGATAACAAGCCCCATGTGTTCAACTCTTCCTAGTCTTCCAGGGCCTGGCACAGCGCCTGGTGCAAGGCCGGTGCCCAGTGGCAGAGGGAAAAGATGATTAAATGAATAACTCCTTACCAACCATTAGGCTTTGCCCAGGTCACCATCCTGCTTAAAGACCTCTGGGTCTCCTGTCACATGCCCAGACCCCGCGTCCTCCCCGCCGCTGGGCACACTCGGCCTTACCAGCTATCCCTCCCTTAAATCCCTCCCCACTGCTGCCACCCCCGTAATCAACCATCTTACACAAACATGGCAGGTTTTTTTAGAGTTTTTGCCATGGCGATCCTTTCTGTTTTCCTGGAATGCCTTCTTCTGCCTAGTGAATTGCTAGACACTTTTCAAGAAGCAGCTCCGGGGTATCTCCTTTGTGACCCTCTCTGCCCAGTAGACCCAGGGCAAACCTGCTCACCTGCTCCCCGGCACCCTGCTTCTCTGCCATTGCAGCACCATGTCATCACCACCTGCTTCCGTGTCTGTCTTCTCCCCTGGATGAGATGTTGGCAGAGTCCATGTCATCCTCGCCTCTGTGTTCCTTGCCTCTAACCGCAGCCTGGCCAGAGAGGGTCTTAGGGACTCTTTGCTGCAGGAGAGCACGCTTTCTATCCCAGCATCCTGCCCTCCCACCACGCTCTTGACAGGGCTTCTTGCCTTGGTGCTGTTTCTCCTGGTCCCCAGCCATGATGGCAGTCAGAGGAGGACCATGGTGGGGTGGGGGCAGGGGGGAGCTGTCGGGATTTCCCCAGAGTGCTTTACCACTGTCTGTCTCCCGTTACTGCAGAGTCAGACATCCGGCCCAGCAAGCTCTTAACCTGGTGCCAGCAGCAGACCGAAGGCTACCAGCATGTCAACGTCACCGACCTGACCACATCCTGGCGGAGTGGCCTGGCCCTGTGTGCCATTATCCACCACTTCCGACCTGAGCTGATGTGAGTCTGGGGCCTGGGCTGAACCTGCCAAGTCCCTCACAGCCCAACGGGACCCTGGAGACAAGGGAAACCAGGGCTGTTCTAATAGATGCAGACTCTTCAGAACTTGGTTCAGAATTTCTCATTCCTCTTTGCATATTTTCTATTTGAGGGTTTTTAAAATTTGTTTCCCCCCCCCCCCTTTGCACTGATTACTCTGCCCACAACTCGTTGATCTGTGTTCCTAATATGTGAGGAGCAAAAGTGACTCAGGGTCAGTCATTACACTCGTCCCCCTTGCCCACTCATCACCGCACTTGGGAAATTTGAGCATTTGCACCTTGTAGCTCTACTCTCAAGAGAGGAATTATGAGCAAAACCTAATCCTGGGCACCAGTGTGAGGGTTTACAGCCAAAAGAATTAGATTTGAACCCAAGATCAATTAGTCCTGTACCATTAGGCAAGCCAACTTATCTTCACTGAGTTTGTTTCATTTATAAATGGGAAATAATGTTGGGTTCATTACACAATTGTATTGTTTGTGGAAATACCTTGTGATGTTGAAAGCACAATGCAGCTATTGATATTGTGTTTAAACCAATGTGTGTGATGTCACCTCACACCCATGAGCAAATTCATCCAAAAGGCTGAAAGGAAACCTACCAAAGGGTTATCAATTGGTAACTTTAGGAAGCAAGGTTGCCTTGAGAAAGGCGGGGGGGGCTCTCACTTGTTCCTTTACATGTTATATATAACATGATTCTTTTTCTTTTTTTTTTTAATAAGAAGCCCATGTTGGTTTTGTAATTAAAAGGAAAAGAGCATAAAGGAACTATTTAAAAGTAAAGTAGCTCATATATTTTCCAAAGTGGTGTAAACCATTTTCTGATTATTTTCAGTCTAGGTGGCAATGACATTATCATGGCCCAAGACTGATTTTGTCCCACCCTGAGTGAGAAGGATAGGGTTAGCATTTTCTCTTGGCTGAGCCTCCCTGGGGAGTGGGGTGGGGGAGGTAATTAGGGGAAGGGACTGGGGTCACTGCTCCTTCGCCCTCCCCCCACCTCTGTCTCCTCTCTCTGAATTTCACCTTGGTTTTCAATTCTCTAGCAACTTTGACTCTTTGAACGAAGATGATGTTGTAGAGAACAACCAGCTGGCATTTGACGTGGCCGAGCGTGAGTTTGGCATCCCTCCAGTGACCACAGGCAAAGAGATGGCCTCAGCCCAAGAGCCTGACAAACTCAGCATGGTCATGTACCTCTCCAAGTTCTACGAGCTCTTCCGGGGCACCCCGCTGAGGCCTGTGGGTAAGGACCTGCTTTTGGACCAGGCTTTGCTCGGCCCCTGAGCCAACTCTGCCCTGTGCCCATGTCTGGCTGCTCTTCACACTGGTGTCCTCTGTCCTGGGCTGGACCCATTGCCTTCCCTTTGACTTTGAGGCCAAATAGAGGTGGACCCCTCCCACTCAGACCAGTGTGTATGAGTATGTGTAGCAGGTACCATGTGACTCCTGCCCCCTGGAAGGTCACTGATAGGCCTGCATCAGCCCCCTGCATGGGCCATTTCCATCTTTAGTGGGGGGATTATTTTGGAGGGACCTTGTAGCAGTGATAGCCCCTGAGCCCTGGGATTGCTGTGGCAGGATCCAAATCTCAGTTATACTTTTACTTCTGACAGATTCTTGGGGCAAAAACTATGGAGAAAATGCTGACCTCGGCGTGGCCAAATCATCCCTTTCTCATAACTATCTCAACCTCACATTTCCAAGGAAGAGGACTCCACGAGTAAGTCTTGGGCTCGTTTTTCTTTCTCTTTGCACATGGATGGGCCAAGGAGATTGGAGAATGTCATGTTCTCTAAGTCTGTTTGTACTGATAAATTGCATAGATAAAGTGCTCACCGAAGACATGAGTAAAATCCAGTTTAGTAACTGAGTGTGTTTGGAAATTCCCCCCTGGCCCTGTGTAGCTTCAATGACTTAACAGTGGTTATTGGAAGGTCATAGAAGTGCAGCGGGGAGGAGACGATGATCTCTCACTTCGGCTTATTTAGATCAGCAACACAATGGCCATTTAGTGGTAGAGGTGTGTGGTCATGCTACATTTATACGTTCTGTTCCTTTCTTTTCTTTTTATGCATTCATTCAACAAATGTTTATTGGGCCCTACTGTATGCCAACATTAGGGCTGAAATTTTTTTGTTTGTTTTTGACAAGGGGAGAAAATAGAGATGAATAATATACAGTCCTCACCTTTGAAGAGCTCAGAGCCTAATAAAGAGGTTTCCAAACTTGCCTGATGTAGGGCACCCTTAGTGTCTCAATAATTTTTTTCACAGTGCCCCAAGATCAAAAGAAATACCTAGAAGTTCCATTTATTAAGTAAAGTCCAAATAACTTGGCAGGGGTATTCTGCAAGGTGTATGACAGAGTTCATCATGTTTCCCTAGAAAATTTAAATATCCTGCGACTCCTCTGTGAGTTTACTGTGGTGCCATGTCGTGCCTTGGTACACAGTTTGGGAACTGTGTACCATAGGCCTAATGAGAAATTACCGTTTTATCTAAATGATGGCATCTCTGTGGAAGGAATAATACAAGTTATCTTGCTTATTATTGTGCCCATTTTACAGATGTAAAAAAGGAGGCCCAGAGATGTTAGGTTGCAAGTGCTGGCACAGAGCTTGCCTTCCCTTCCCAGAGCGGCAGGGCAGTCCTCCCCTCACTCGGCAGAGGGCTGCAGGCCTTTACATGTCTCAGTCTCCCTAGGTTGCTGACAGCCTTTTAACCTCTGGACAGTCATGCCATATTCTGCCAGCCCCTCCACCCAGGGTGGGGCTGGGCCATGTGTCCTCCTTTCTTTCTGTCAGCTGTGTGAGCAGTGGTCACTTTTTCCACTGAAGTCTGCACTCCCTGGAATGTTGCAAGCGGTTGTGCTAACTCCAGGAATGGGAAAGGCTACTTAATGCTCTGCCACACCCTGTCTATAGCAAGGATGGGGCGAGCCAGGCTGGGGCTGGGAAGGGAGGTGTACATAGTGTTTTCAGCAAAGAAGCTAAAAGGCTGAGCAGCCCCCAGCCTCTCTGTCCCCCTCTGCTCCCCGAGCTGCCCCATTCAGAGGCTCTGTGTAAGGACCTCATCATCCACCACGTGTCCCACTGAGCAAACTCTGTCTTCTAGAGACCAGTCATAGGCTTATTCCACCCTAGCCCACGCATGTTTCTTCTGAAGCCAAGGACCCCACCCTGGGCTGCCCCATCCCAGGCAAGCCTGTGTAGCCTTTCTGGAAGCTCTCCGAGCTCTCTGAGAAAGCCTTCACCCCCTTTCTCCATTCACCTGGTTTCTCCCGGCACATAGCCCACAGCTGGGAACAGAAGGAGGAACTGGAGAGGACTGTTTAAACCTTTCACTCACCACACCTCTGTTTATAGAATGACCGCATTGAAACAGCCTGGCCAGCTCTGGCTCAGGAGGTGGGAATGGTCAAAGGTCAGCCATCAGCAAAACCAGCCAGGCCCTTGAGGGCTGCTGGGGTCTTGCCCCACACTTCCCTTTCCTCTGGCTCTGCTAGAAAAAAATACAGGGGGGCAGGTGGGCTTTTCCTGGCCAGCGCTGGCCCATTTTGAACCATGTCCAGTCTCCTTCAGTGTATGCCTATGGACTGCCTATCATCAGAGGGGTGAAGGGCCTCAGGTCTGCTTCCTCTCACAGCCGCATTTAATGCCCAAAATTTACCCTGCTCTTCAGAAAGGTAGAGAGATTAGGTCATTCAAGTTAAGTGCTTGGCATGGGAGTTATTTGTCCTTCTCTTTCTCCTGAAACCAATTGAATGCTTCCTCTAGGTGGGATGAGAACTAGTAAGGCCATGGGTCACGTGCTGCCTTGGTCATCACTGAAATAGCTCAGCATACTGTCCACCACTCAGTGCCAATGCAGTGATTGGTCACACACAAAGTGCCTTCTTGCCATTCGACCATATGTCTTCTTATATCTGGACACTTTTTGGTTTAAAACAGGAATTTATTTGCAATGCTCTTTGGTCTTAGCGTTTCTCACAAGCAAAGACTACCAAGTCCAATCATTTCCCATGGGATAGGCATGGAGGATATCTGCACAGGGGACTCTGAAAACTGCACACACACAGTTATACACAGAAGATATCAGAACAATTAGATGTGCAACCCTCAGTGCCCCAGCTCATGTGCCCCTATGGACTAGGGATGTGGGCCAGGCCATGCTTGCATGATTCTACACCACAGTGCACACGCAGTACCTGTACATACAGGTGCTTCTACATTCGACTTCACCCTGACCTCCCATCCCTCCCTGCCCCCTCACTAACTTCCAGAAGAGCATCAGGATATGGGAACTGAGCAGCCACACTCATTCACAGTGTGGCATCTTAGTCTGAAGAACGTTCATTATTTTTCTTCTGAGCCATTTAAAACAAAATCTCTCCCTCCTAGTTTTCACTGTTGGTGTTAAATTTTTCTCTCATCCCTAAGCTTGATAATATCAAAATCCCAGCAACAGTGATCAACATTAAGCAAAATAATACTTTTTCCCAGTGTGACTTATTCACTTAGTGTAAGGCCCTCGAGGTCCATCCATGTTGTTGCATATGCTCTCACTTATATGTGGAATCTAAAAGAACAACAACAAAAAACTCCCAAACAAACAAAACAAAACAGAAACAGACTCAGAGATACAAATGACAAACTGATGGTTGCCAGAAGTGGGGGAGGTTGGAATCTGGGTGAAAAAAGTGAAAGGATTAAGAAATACAAATGGGTAGTTACCAGATAGTCATGGGTTATAATGTACAGCATAGGGAATATAGTCAATAGTTGTAACAACTATGTGTAGTGCCAGGTGGGTACTAGACTAATTGGGGGGATCACTGCATAAATTATATAAGTGTCTAACCACCAGGCTGTACACCTGAAAGTAATATAAAATAATACTGAATGTCAACTGTAACTGAAAAAAGAAATAAATAATTAAAAAAAAAAGACTTCTTCCTCCACCAAGGACCTTGTTTACACTTAGAAAGAGTAACAAGTTCTACCCATCTTCCAAGAGGGTTCGCCCTCTGGTGAGTGGTAAACTATTGGGGTTGACTGATTAGCTCTGAAGACCAGGTGACCCATGCCTGGGAAAGGAAGAGCCTGGGATTATATTTTCCTCTTAAGAAGTCTTTGATCTGCTTCTGCAGATCTGCCTCTGATCCTGGTCAGTATCTAAAAGCCTCGTAGCAAGTGATAATTACTGGGGACTCCAGAGCTCTTATCATGTATCACAGGAGACACCGGAACCTATATATGTGGTCTCTGTCCTCAGTCTCCTAGACTTGCCACACGTGGGTAATGCCTGTATTTATGGCCCCTTCAGCCATTGCATGCATTACAGTACATATGGACTCAGGGTGCTTGATCTCTGTGTTCTTCATTCTGAGCCCACTCTTTGGAGGACAACGCAACATTAGACATTATCACTTGTCCATGAAAAGCCCATCTCAGAAGCGAGGTCGGTGGCCCTAGGATATTTCTCCTTCTCGGCTGACTGATTCGGACCCAAGCCCCCCTCCAGCACTGGTCCGTGGTAGAGTGGAATGCGTGGAGCATGACTCTTGGCCGTGTTTGATCTGGGTAGCCTGGGTCCCCTTCCGGCTCTCCTCTTCTCGCCCCTCCCGCACAAACACTCTCCAAACGGCCAGGGAGTGCTGTGTAAGAAAGGGCTTCCTCCATGTATCCACTCAACACACATTCATTGAGTGCCTGTTTTATGCTGAGTTTCCTCTTGGAGCTGGGGGTAGAGCAGTGAGCAAGGCAAGCAAGGACTCTGCCCGAGGGAGCTGGCTTTCCAGAGGGAAGTGCCTCTTACTCCCCTTTTCCAACTGCTGTCACAGAGCCATCCACCCAGCAGCCAAAGCTCCCTTCTGGGTTTCTACTACTTCCCAATTCATAGGTTTGAAGAAGGTTTAGGAGAGTTGAGAGCGCCAGGTCCCTATGCTGCCCAGCTTGGCAAGAGCAAGGCCCATGAACAGCCCCTCCAGCACCTGTGGTTTGCAGGCCAATCTCTCTCCTGTCCTCTGTACAACTGCAGCCTGAGATTCTGAGCTGATTTACACAATGGGAATGCACTTTGAAGCCCGGCAGACACATAGTATATACCAGGCCTGCTGGGGGTTCAGCACATGTTCACCCTCTCAGGAAGCTCCTTTGCTTGTCTGCAAAATGATTGCAATCACCAACATTGCACGGCCTTGCTGTGAAGAGACCATGCATAAATGTGTGCTGCAGGCCTGAGCACCTTCTCCGGCATGTGGGAAGGGCTCCCTAAATGATAGTTCGTGTCCTTTGTAAGTACTGATGAAATGAAGATGCTCATCTTCTGAAAAGCTGAGTGAAACTAATTGGATTGAACACTTGGTTCCGTACTGCAGCCATGATTGACACAGCACTTTACAGCACGTAAGACAGTTTTATGTCTCATTTGTCCCCTGTGTTGCCTTCTGAGGAAAGCAGAGTAACACTTTCCTCCAATCCCAATTTCAGAAATGTGGACATAGGAAGATTAAATTGCAATGTCATATAAGTGGTGAATGTCCAAGTTAGAACTAGAATTCAGATTTTCTAATTCTGTTAACTAGTGTGAACCTAAGTGACAATGTCTAGTATTGATACAGCATGTTCTATTATAAGGAGTGTTTTACATGTGTGGTTTCGTTAATCCTTACAACAATTTATGAGCTAGATAGTATATCTTATAGGTGAGGAAACAAGTCAGAGAAGTTAGGTGATTTTCCTAAGGTCACACAGCCAGGTACTAATTAGTGCCAGAACTTGAATCCATGACTCCTTACTGCTCTGCCATTGAAGAATAGCAGAGCTCCCTTGCTAGGGACACTAGCCATCTTTCTAAATCTCAAGGCTGCCCCCCCTGCTCAAGCAGGCCATTGCCTGCAATAGCCAATCTCTTCCTATGACCCGGATCTAAATTTCTTCAGGATTAGGTTACACTGGCTAGCTAAATATAAAGTTGGTTTGCTTTGGGCAAAAATCAAGTCAGTCAGTATGGGAACATGGTTATTTTGTGCTGATCAAGTATTGTAAGTGATCAGATTGGCAGATATATGTCTTTGTTTTTAAATGGAGATACCAATTAGTTTAATAAATGTCTTTTAGTATACAGAATCTTTCAAATCATTGGGAAATCATGATAAAGTGTTCTGAAAGTGAAAATAATGAAACAAATTAATAGAAAAAAAGAGTCGTTATTGGTTTATTCTCATGCTCTTTCTGACTGAGCACAATAAGTATGTTCTTCCTCCTTGTATTCCAATTATTGGTAGAGCAAAATAGAATCCAAAGAGAAGGGGGTACTGCGGCAACTTTGACTCCCAAACAGAAATACACAGATAAGAAAAAAATTAAGTACATCTTCAGGTTTGCACATTCTCCACCTTTTTTTTTTTTTTTTTTACCCTAGTTCTTAGTTGAGAATCAGTGCTTCCATGATAAACCCATAAGGAAGAGTAGAGACTGTTTGGATATATGTGTTGCTAACCTTTCCATACAGACTGCATTTTATTGTCCTGGGGGTCAGGCTGAAGCAGAGGAGCTGTGGTTGCCCCCACCCACTCCCTTTATTCCCCCTGAAGGACCTGGGGTCTTCTTAGTTGCCAACCCTGGGCACAGCACACTTCCCCCGAGTGCTTTCTGTGCACCTGTGGCTGACTTCCTGGGTTTGGATTTATACAGGCTCTGATTGTTGGAACAGTCACACCCGGGGCTGTTGAATGCAGAAGAGAGAATAAGATGTGTTGCTCTTTGAGGGAATAGCCAAGTCCTCCCTTAAAGCAGAAACAAAAAAACGATAGAAAACACTAAGATTAGGCACCAAGTGTTCTTGTTGGGTAGGCCGTCCTGTACTTTCTCAGACTCCAGTCTCCAGGCCAGGGAGGCATTCACAGGCCTTGGAGCTGGGGGCCCAGGCAGCCTGCGCCTCCAAGGCCCAACATTGTTGCAAATAAGGTCATCTGTTTCTCTTGGTGCTTGCCCAAGCCTTGGGGTTGAAATAATTTCCATTCACAGAATAATGATTTATTGGAAGCTGAGGAAAATGTTGAAGGGAAAGCAGAGCCCTTTGATCTGTTGTTTTTTGCTGCCTGGGCAAGGGAAGAGTCAAATTTTTAAACAAGTATCAATAACTAAACTGTGGTTGATCTTGTCTTCAAAAATATTAAAGATTCTGGTAAATACGTGGAGGGAGCAGGGGTGATGGGGGAGTGTAAGAACTGGGAAGCAGGTGCTTTCTGTTGGAAGCAAGTGAGTACCTAGCAGACTGTGTGCTAGGGGCTCCGATGTTGTTATTCTCGTTGTTGTATATTATAATAATATTCAAAATTATTGTTACTGTTGTTCCAGAACAACTGGGAGGTAAAAAAAAAAAAATCTCTCGCGGTTGGGCAAGTTTAGGATGTATGGACTGATTGGGCTGTACGCCTGGGTTTGAGGGGGGAGAGTAGCAAGCAGTCCTTCCTACTGCATCCAAAGTGGAATATGGCTCGGATTTAATCTGGGCCTGCTATGGAGGGCCCTCTGAGGGTGAGGAGGCTGGGTGGGGATGACTCCATGGTCCTGGGGGGACTGGCCATTTGGAGAAGTCTCCAGCTGGAGACTGGTAGAAGAGAGGTCGAACCCCAGTGTCAAGAATGGGCTTACCCTGCAGGGTGCAGAGGAGGTATTCAGTCCAGTATCCCACCCCCCATCCCAGCCAGTAGCATCAGCTCAACTGCGCAGCCCCATTCATTCCCTTGAGGAGACAAGCCTGACTGTGGGCGGCCCTTGGTGTTCCTTGCAGAGGCGATGCATTGGGCTTGGGTAGCATGAGTTTCTCCAGATTTAAATATCCATATTTGGGCAGCAGAAAGTAGACTGTAAGGCATTATTGATAGGGCAACTATGTAATTTATTATCTAAACCAGGATGCTTTTCAGAGTGAAAGGGGGCACTATAACTAATTATGCTAAGGGGGGGAAAAGCAATAAATCAAAACAGCCCTGGGCAAACAGGGCTGTATACTTACCGTAGTGTTCAGACCGTACCTGGCGCTTCTCTGAAGTTAATAAAATATCATGTGCTGGTAGTTGTGATGGTGACTGAATGGCAGATGTAATTTGCCATCAAATCCCTGGGCAGCTGCTCTGAGTCCCAAAAACCCTGCCTTCCAAGTGAGTCCGTCCGTGTCATTTCCTCATAGAAGGTGGCCTCTGTAAGGCAGTACCCTGAGGGGCGACAGCAGGCCTGGCCGTAACTGCCCTGAGCCCAAGGTCACAATGAGGGGCCGGCCGAGTGGCTCAGTTGGTTAAGAGCTCGCTCAAGAGTTTGAGCTCTGAGCAACAGCGGTGCGAGTCCAGCCCGAGCTGAGCGGCCGCTGAGCTGCCAATAGGTAGCAGGATGGCTCAGCTAAAAACAAACAAACCAAGGTCACAATGACAGTGGGGACGACCTCTGCCCTGCTGTGTCGGAGGGAGTCTATGCTTTGGGATGTTTCAGCATGATCTGGGAATGTGGTTCCCACCTCCAGTTCCCCAGAACCTCCAGAGCCCCAGGTGGAGTGAGGCGCCCTGCACGACACCCGAACAGAACTCTGTGATAGCATTAGTCATGTTGCAGGGTGTTTTACGTCCATCTGTCTCCTGGTTGGGTAGGGCTGTATGCCCAGCGATCGCTCAGAGCTATTAGTGGAACCGCGGTCCTTGGTGGCCCTGAATTCACCGTGCTTTCTTGGCCATTGCAGGTGGACAGCCAAACCGAAGAGAATAATGACATGAACAAACGGAGACGGAAGGGCTTCCACAACTTGGACGAGGTTCGTGTCAGTTTAAACAAAGGCCCATTGCTTGACAGCCCGTGGCCGCAGGCCCGCCCGACTGTGATGTCATCGCTAGCCCATCCTTCTTTCCTCTCTCAGGAGCCACTCAGTTCCAAGCTTGGCGTGATGGAAAAATAGACAGGTTCTGATTTTCGCTCCACTGCCTACTATCTCTGTAACCGTGAGAAACAGAACCTCCCAGGGCGGGGCTCATGTCTGTACAATACAGATGATAACATTGGAAACAGGAAACTTGGCAGGATTTTTAAAGATGAAACAAGAAGACGTTATATAACATGCCAAACATGATGTCTGGAACCTATGTTAATCAATGTAGAGTCACTATTAGTAGTGAGTAGTAAAGAGGCACCAGCTGTCCCATTTTCCACTCCCAATCATGTTTCTTTACCTTTTTTGTGTTTTCTGCACGCCTCACCTTCAAGGCCAGTGTCCCAGTGCCCATAAGTGCCACCTTCTGGCGAAATAAGAAAATTACAGGCTACTTTGTGAAAACTGGGCAGGAATCACTCTCCTGCTACTGAAAAATTGATCAGCAGAAAAGGAGAACTATCAGCTCCACTTCTCCAGGCAGCTCTTTAAAGAGACCTGAGATGTCCATTTCATTGGAAAAAGCCATTCTAGTCCCACAAAAGCAAGCAGAGGTACTGTCCGTGAACTGGAGGATGCCACCTTTAGCTCTCCTACCAGTTGATGTCATCATTATGACATAGAGCCCTGTGGAATCGTTTGTATAATACACTGAGTTTTAGGACTTAGAAAAGGCTTCTGTCTTACTTGGTTGAAGAGGTGTTACTGCTGCATATTTTTATAACATTGTTGTTTCATGTCTGTGCCTCGCTTTACGTGGAAGCCTGGACTGGGGTCCGGGCACTGGCTTTCACAGCAGTGAACTTGATATAACAAACAGACGCACAGCCCACCTTGGGGGAGTGGGGAGATGCCTATTGCTCACCCCATTTTCTGGGATGCTCAAAAGGAAGCCCTGATCACAGAAACCTGGAGTTCAGTGCATGTCTTAAAATGTGCCCAAACTCATTTTATCCAAGGAGTTCAAATCACCCTTGTCCGAATCTTTTCTATATAGAACTTCTTTGGGTGATCCCTTCAAGAGCTGCTGCTTCCTTATCTCTCGGCTCTGGTATGAGCCAGAAGCCAACGGATAGGGAGATGACTGAGAGGAGGAGGCAGAGGCGGATTAACAGGGCGGGAGAGATGCCCCATTCCCCCCATTACTGGTGTTGGCCCTCGCCTTGGGTGCCTGTAATGTGCTCCAGCCTCCTCCAAGAAACTTCCCTTGGATATACTTTGTCTCAGGTAGAAGTCTTCTGTCTTTCATCCGTGGCTTATTTGAGGGGGGTGTTTTTGCTGTTTCTGTGGGTGGCAGCACAGGAGTGGAGTGTGGGAGGAAACCGGGTTGCACCTGCCCCTTCCAAGAGGGCTCTGGGCTGTTTTCCAGGCCACCTGTTTTTGCTTCCAGGTGAGATATAACCAAACAATAATTATCGATTCTTGCTGCTCAAAGTGCGGGCCAAGAACCAGCAGCATCAGCACCTCCTGGCAGCTGGTTGGAAATGCGGGGGCTCAAGGCCCAGCCCAGCCCAATGAACCTGACCTGCCTTTGAAGGAGCCCCAGTGATTCCTGTGCACATGAGTGCCTGGGAGTGCTGTCTGCATGACCCACCATCCTGGCCAACTTTGGCCTTGAACAAACAGGGACCAGCCCAGTGAACTCAGCCCTCTTTGCACTCGAGCCTGTATGGCTATGCAGTTACCTTTCCCACTTTGAAGTGGTCTGTGTTTGTCCAGCACTTCAGAGTGGCTGTGCATACGGTGTTTCCCATGGGGCTGCTACTGTCAGGGATCTTTTTTTTAAAAAAGTTGACTACATATTGTAGCTTGCCACTTCCCATGAATTTCTTCTAAGTGAACACATCTCTGTTAAGATTCTTAAGACTGGACCGGTCTGTTCCGGTCTGTTCCTGAGGGGGACTCGTTGTCTCCTTGGGAAAGCCGACTATCTCCTTTACATGACAGCGCCACTTACACTTCAGGGCCTGGGGTGCAGATCCTGTGGTAAGGGGGAACAGGCATTCAACGAACACTGGTGATTTTCCGAGCTTTATATTTAGCAGATGAGCTAAAAAAAAAATCTTACATGGAACTCCATTGTATAAACAACATAACCAAGTGATCACAGCCAATATCTCACCAGTAATTGGTCATATTGCTATCAGGTACCCAATGAGAAGAGCACTTCACCTCTGTGACATCCTTCTCCCAAACCAATAACCCCGGTCTAATCATGAGAAAACATCAGACCAACACAGATTAAGGGACTTGGTACGAAATAGCTGACCAGTCCCCTCCAAAATTGTCAAGGTCACGAAAGACAAAGGAAGATGGAGAAACTGGGACAGATCGGGGGAGACTAAGGGGACATAATGACTAATTGCAGTGTGGGATCCTGTATTGTATCCTGAAGCCAAAAAAGAACATTAGTGGGCAAACTGGTATCATCCAAATCAAGTCTGTAGTTAATAGTATCATACCAGTGTTAATGTCCTTGTGATAACAGTGTCGTGATTACTCCAGATGTTCATATTACGGGCAGCTGGGTGAAGGGTATGTAGGAACTATCTGTGCTATCATTGTAACTTTTCTGTAAATCTAAAATTATTTCAAAATTAGTTTTTTGTTTTTTTAAAAAAAGGTAGCAACCACAGAGCAGGACAGGTTGAAATTGAGAGTGGGGTGCAAAGGAGAGAGCAGAAAGAAATCAAAGCTTGCGCCCCACCTGACTGACACCCCTCTTCCTCCCTTCATCCCTCCTGGCTCACCTCTTGGCAGCCACATGATGTATTTTGAAAATGATTTTGCTCACCACTTCATTCTTTTATTTTATTCTTGCAACCACTATGTGAAGTGGGTTACACGACCACTTCACAGATGAGAAAACCTCAAAGAAATTAAATTGCCAAGGTCACTGGGCTGGGAAGTAAAAGTCAGGATTCAAATCCGAACTGCCTGGCTCCCAGGTATGGGCATGCCCATCTTTGGAAAGATGCACCCCTCCTGTGATATTGTCTCCTTTGGGCATCACCTGCTGCTTCTGCCTCATTTCCTCATACCATGGAGGGCATCCTTCTTCAGGAAATTAGTCCCCTGCCCTCGGCCCCCAAGCCCCCTCCCTGACATCTAGGTTCTGGGACCCAAAAACCAATGCACCGCTTTGGCCTTTGCAGCCTTCAACCTTTTCCAGCCGGAGCTTGGGCTCCAATCAAGAGGACGGCAGCAGTAAAGAAGGTGGAAATCAGAACAAAGTCAAGTCTATGGCAAGTCAGCTGCTGGCCAAGTTTGAGGAGAGCTCTCGGAACCCCTCACTCCTAAAGCAGGTGAGTCTCATCCAATGCTCGCGGGACCTGCCTCCTTGGGTCCACAACTGAGAAGCCAGCAGAAATATTCAGGCTAGTGATGGATGTTGGGTATGCCAGCCTGGCCTGGCTCAGGCAAGCCTTCTCCTGGACCATGAGTTAGCAGACTTTTCTAAAAGCGGCCAGACAGCAAAGAGTTTAGGTTGCGGGAGGAGTGGTGGGGGGAGGCATCTGATTTCTCTTGCAACTACTCAACTCTGCCATTGTAGCACGAAAGCAGCCACAGACAATACCTAAACAAATGCACATGGCTGTGTTGCAACAAAACTTTATTTACAAAAACAGGCAGCAGGCCAGATTTTGGCCTGAGGACTGTAGTTTGTGGATGCCTGTTCTGTATGGCCCTTCCCCTAATTTGGTTTTGCTTTGCAACCATGACTTGGCTTGCAGCCACCCATGAGATGGTGCTGCTGGAGGGAGCTTTAGAGGTGCTAGATGCTTGGGAGATCATTAAGTCCATGGGGAGAAGACCTGTCCAAACAAGGGGAAACTGGGTCATGGGTCTTCGCTCCTTGTGGGCCTGCAGGAAATGAGGACCAACCCCCTCAAGTGTCCTCATGGTGAGCCTCTTCCTGTTCCCTTGGGTCAGACTGGCAGAGTTATGTGTCTGACCAGGGTCGGTGTGAGGCTGAAGGCAGTCAAAGCTGCAGTCGGGCAGCAGACTGAGCTGACTTCTCTCAGGCCCTGGCTTGAAGTCTGTGCTGCCTGGTTTAGTTTGCGCCTCCGGATTCCTCTGGGATGCCACTGCCACATTACCAAAGCTCGAGACAAGGGTTTGGTTTTTCTTTGGAGAATACCTATCCCGTGACACAAATAGGCTCCTCTCAGGAAGAGAACAGACTCTTGGTTAGTTAGGTATAGAGGTGATCATAGATACCGTTTTTGCCTTGATGTGGACCATGGCCCTCCTGGACGAACTGCCCTTCCCCATGAAGCCAGGTTTTATTATAAGAGGCTCATTTTCCTGGGACTTGTAACTCTCAGTTTCTTTTCTCAATTCTCCCTGCTGGAGGCTTGGTCCCTCGCAGTTCCCAAGTGTCGCCAAGGGCTGTCTCCCATCAGGACTGTAGCATGCCCGTCCTCAAGTGGGCAGGAAGGTTTCCGTTTCTGGAAGGACTCCGGGGCTGGCCACCCCGGCCTGGCATGGGCTGTGGCAGTGCCTGCCCAGTGCCCCGGTCTGAGCCAAAAGCAAATCTTCCGTAGATTCACACATCGTCCCAGAGGAGGGGACTCTAGAACTTGCTGTCCACATGGGCAGAGGGCCAGGGTTCAGGTTTCCTGGCAGGGCCCAGCTTACAGCAGCACGGCCCAGTGCTCTCTCTCTCTCTGTACCTGCAAACTCTCCCTGCCTGCCTCTCTTCCTCTCCTCCTTCCAAATGTCTCAATCTGACTCACCTTTTCCTTCCTGTTTCCTGCGGCTGCTTTTTCGGACACCTTCCTCCTCCCAGGAACATCGCGTCTCGGGGATAGGTAAGCCTGTCCCGTGCTCATCCTCTGACCCTCCTGTTAACTCTCGCTGTCTCAAGCCAGAAGAGCTCACACCCAGCCCGTCACCTCCTCTGAAAAGGCAGGTAGGGCTCCTTCCAGTGGATGGGGTCTTGGTGAAGCCAGCGGGGACTTTGATGCTGAGGGGTGGGAGCAGTGGCCCTCTGCACACCCCAGAGGTGTAGGGCCGATTGTACGTTCTTTGGGAAGGCAGACGCAACTTGAGCTCACTACCGTTTTAGGGAAGACTAACCAGCTATGCAGCATCTTGAAATACATGCCGTTGATCCTTCAGCCAGTCAGGGGTATCGACTGACCAACTGCTATGCTGTTGGTGATTTATATGCTTGGGGAAAAAACAGACCATACCACATGGTTTTGTCTGATGCCCCTGGAACACTTAACTTTAGTTGCAGACCACTTAAATAGGCTGATTTCTAAATTGACGAAAAAGTAGCAGTGATGGTAGACTGGGCTCAGGGGCCCAATTGGCTGCACGCATTGAAGGGGTAAGGCTGGAATGTGGTGCCGACCTCCCCTGGTGCCCGAGCAGACAATGGCCTGCCTGGTGGGCAGGCAGGCAAGCTGTAGCCATGGACTGTGGCTTTTTCCAGCTAGCATCCCTGGGTTTGGAATTTGAACAGAATCACTGTTGTTGACCACAGCACTCAAAGATGTCTGATCAGCATGAGAAATTTTGTGCTGTTTCCGGTGAAAGTTGAATGAGGTCAGTGTGGACATAAGGCAGTGGTTTCATGTCTGTGTGTGTAAGAATTACCTAAGGAGCAATTTATTTTTCCAATTAAAAATGGGTATTAAATAAAAACAAAGCAATAGCTGGTACCACCCCAAGACCAATTAAATTAGAATCTCTGGAAGTCAGTTCCAGTCTCGGGTTGTGTTTTAAAAGTACCCTAGGTGATTTCAGTGTGTATTTAGGATTGAGAACCAGGATTGTACAGGTTTTAATTTGGCGGGTCTGGGGTGAGGCCCAAGACTGTTGTTGAGCAGGATGTCAGATTTACACAATGCGATTAACCAATGTTACCCCAATGTTAATTTAAAAAAGAAAATTAAAACAATTAAAAAGTAAATAAAAGGAGGATGTCAGGTGATTCTGATGCAGATGGTAGGATGTCAGGGCCTGAGGTGAGTTCGAATCTCACTCTAGGGGGCCCTTGGTGTGCCCTTGGTTCCTGGTCCTCATGGCGATTCCTCATGTTGCGCGGCTGTGAAAGGGCCACAGTAGGGAAGGAAGCTTGATTTTCCTTCTCTCCCAGTTCCCTTTGGTGGTTGTGACGGGGCATGTGCTCCGAGAGCTAAATCAAGTGTCTGCTGGTGGAGAGTGTCCGAGCCGGCCCTGGAGAGCTAGAGCCAAGTCTGACCTACAGCTGAGTGGCCCAGAAAACCGTGCTTCCCTGCCTTCTACTTGCCAGGGCGCGCTGGCCCTTTCTGGGGTGCTGCGGCGGCTGCAGCTAGTAGAGGAGAAGATTCTCCAGGTGAAAGCCTTGCCCTTTGCCCTGTCTCTGCCTTCCCTCCCCTGTCTCTGCCTTCCCTCCCCTGTCTCCCTCCGCCTGCCCAGGGTTCCTTCTTGTACGGTTCACACCCTGTCTCCCGTCCTATGTGTGGTGTGAGTGAGACAAGCCCTCCCGACTGCCTGCTGCCTGCCTCCTGGAGGTAACTAGCTCAGTTTCTGTCACTATCTCTTTTTTTCTTTCTCCTTTCTCACCTTGACTGCAGAAGAGGGCTCAGAACTTGGCCAACAGGGAATTTCACAAAAAGAACATTAAGGAGAAGGCGGCTCACCTTGCCTCCATGTTTGGACACGGGGATTTCCCGCAGGTAAACAGGGAGCTTTTGGAGCCCCCCAGGAAGCCAAACATTGAAAATCCAGTGAGCTGATCTTGAATCAGTCTCTGGACTGATTCCCTCCTCCCTGCTTTCATGGCATGAGGCACCATTCACGTTCCCTGCCACTAAAGAATTCAAGCTGGTACCTTAAAAAGACACAAATGAGAACATTCAAAATGAGTAGCTAAACCAGGACAAAGGGAAAACCAAGGCCGAAAAGTAGGCTCAGATCCAAGGAAAACGTTACTGAACAGAAACGCATGCCGTTAGATGCTAGATGGCTTCTGAGGAGACCCTTAGCTTCCTAAGGGCCAACGCAAAGAGGGAAAGCTGGTCAGTTGCAAGAATCACATTACAGTGCTTTTAAGGTGAAAGTAAACCAGTTGCTGATGACATTTTGGGGCCCAATGGGGAATTCTCCCTGTGGCCTGATCTGGAAGACTCTGATGAGGAGATCAACCACATGCCATAACCTATGATCTGCCTTCCCAAAAGGCAGCATCAAGCCAGAATGGCTTTGCCTTAGAATACAAAACACAGCCTCCTCCAAGCCAGGTACTTATTTAGAAACTTGCTGACAAGAAGAATATGTGCTCGCGAGGAGATGAAAGCATTGATGTGAGGTCCCGCGACGCTTGTATCTGTAAGGTGCCCCCTTGCTTGCAGCAAGCCGGATCTCTAGAACACCCCTCCCCGGCAGCTTCCTCTCTGTCTCCTGAAAACCTGTGCCCTATGCTATTCAGCAGTCACTGACATAGGAAGGATGCTTTGCATTTATTTAGTTCGTGTTTAGGTGCCGAGAGGCTGGCACAGTTGTCTGCAGCTGCAGAGGTCCCGGCTTGGGCCATGTGGCCCCCAATAGCTCAGGATTCTCCTTTCCTAAATTTGCTGCTGCCACTTCCTACCAAGCTCCAGAGTGAGGGCTTCAAGAGTTAGCGCTAGTGTCTGCGGCAGACAGAGGCGGGAGCAGCACGGACCTTCTCCAGCTGTTTGGTGTGGTCCAAGGGAGCCGGAATAGCTGTAGCAGAAAGTGTAACCAGGAACCACACAGCCCTGCTGGGCTCCAAAGCGAGAGGCTCCTGCTTTGTCCTGTGATGCAGGTCTGATGTCCCTTCCCCTCCTTGAATGCGTAGGCATGCAGCTGCGTCATGGAGGCCAGCGTCACGGTGCCTTTCCCCGGGGATAATCATGGTTCCCTCTGTTTCTGTTCTGTGCAGAATAAACTACTCTCTAAAGGCCTGTCTCATACTCATCCTCCGTCTCCTCCCTCCTGCCTTTCATCTCCTGATCCAGCTGCCACTTCCTCTCCATCGACTGTTGACTCTGTTTCTCCTGCCAGAAAGGTAGTCGTCCTGAACAATTAGCTTCCCCCACCCCCCACCCTCTGCACGTTGCGAGACGTTCTCCTGCTCTGCTCGAGCTGTGCAAACATCTGGAGCTTGGCTTGGCTGAGATGAAAATGTGTGAGATACTTCACAACAGTCCTGGACCGGGTTTGTTTCTGTGTTGGAGCCAGCGACATAGCACAACAGGCAGTACACAAAACTCCTCTGACAGTGCTCACTCATCCCGCAAGCATTAGTTGGGCACCTCCTGTGTGCCAACCACCATGCCAGGTGATGAGGAAACAAAGAGGGGGTGGTACAGTTCTCTTACTACAGTTTAGATGGCAAGCAGCACACTAGAATAGAAATAAGTAACTTTTTACCACATGAAATTGCCAATATTTGGCTGTTTTTGACCTAACAAAATGGCAATTTCACATGGGGAACCTAATACAATATTCAGTGATTCTATGAGAGACATAAAAGGCAAGATTGTAGAAACCCAAAGGGGAAAAGCCTGGAAGGCGTCACAGAGGGGGCACTATGGGGGCCGAGTGTTGAAGGTTGTACCGGATGATTTGCTGGACAGAAGTGTAAGGAGAGAACATGTTAGAAAAGGCCCCACATATGCAAAGGAAGGCAGACAGTACTTGCATGAATGGAAAGTCAGAATTCTGGTGAGACTTGAATTTGGGGATAAAAGTATTTATGGGGATACAGAGAATAAGGGCAATAGTGAGCCTGCTCTTGTCATGTTGTGGAATTTCATTCTATCCTCTTACAAAGAGCAACTAAAGGATCTGCTCTCTGTTCCAGAAGGCTGACTCAGGTAGCAGTACAGAAGTTGGCTTGGAGGGAAGGAGGAAGCAAGTGGGGAGCTAACTCTGGTTAAGTTGATAATGAAACGCACCATGAGCAATTATTAAATTTGGGATCTGGGGTACTTTTCATGTTTTCCACTTGTCCTCTTACCTAAGATTCTAAGAGTGCTACCAGTCTGGGTGGGAGAGGGGCAGCCTCCTGGAAACCTTGGCTCCTGGAATGGATAAGCCTAAAAACGGACATACACGAAGCCCACTTCTTCAGCTTTGGTTCATGAGAGTAGGTTTGGCGTCCCTTCCCCGCAGACGGCGCCCCTCTGAACACAACCAGTCTGTCTGATTCCCACCTAGGCTCGGCAGGTGGTGCTGAATATCCCCCTATCAGAGTTACCGATCATTTGTTTTCATGCTTCAGGCTGATGCACTAACCAGCTCCCTGCTGTTGCATCAGCGGAAAATTAGGAGTTGCCTCTTGGTATGTAGCTGGGGGTCCCAACCCCATCAATCCGCACAACTGTGGGGACAAGAATACAAGTAGGATCTGCAGGAAAGGAGCAAGGCTCCCAACACGGCTGTGGCGCATCCCTGGCAGGGCAGCAGGAGGCGATGCAGAGAAACACAAACACTTTCTGTCTTCAACTCCACTGAAAATAGCCAAGGCTGGGATGTCTGGCATCTTGTTCCAGGTCACCCTTCAGCCGGCTGTTTGACCTTAAGTCTCCTGACCTGTCTGGGCCTCCATTTTCTCATCAATAAGAAAGTGATTACTGGCTCACATGATAGTGAGCTGTCTGGGTGGAGACTGGCATTTTTGTCATCGTCGTCACCAAGGCTTCAGAGCAGCCTTTTTGCCCTTCCCTGGGGAGTACTTCCTGCTGTGGAGAAGGTGATTGTCACCCTTGACAGGGTGATGAGAGGAGCGAGGGCACCTGGGCCCAGACAGGCAGCAGCTCGTGCTCCTGGCTGGGTAACAGGGCCCACACCTTGCTTGTCTCGGGCCCAACCCCTCTCTGGCTGGTCCCGGCCAAGGCCCTCCTTCACCTCTGCTTTCCTTTCATCCTCAGGAAGACCTGGCTTAGTCACTGTCCTCTCAGAGTTGAAGGCAGAGCTGGGATGAGAAAAGCCACCACACTTCCCAAGTTCCTTGCTGCGGTTTGCAGTAGGTATTAGCTCTCTAGGTGACAGAGACAGGCAGCATGTCTGGGCCATGTGGGGTTCTGGGGTGTGACAGACACTTCCTGTCCGTGGGCATATCCCCTGTCACATCATCATCACGCTCTACTGAGGCCCTGGCTGTTTCACTGGGTTCTTCAAGCAGCTTTAAACCAATGTCACTCATTAAGCCAATGAGTAAACATTCATGAATTTGACAAATATTTGTTGAATGACACTCAGTGTCAGACACTCCAGGCTCTTAGGAGTTGTATCAATGACCAGGAGCTGCCTTTCGGGCCTGATGAGGCTTGCCTCCCAGCAGCGGGAAATAATCAACAAACAATAATATGATATAGAAGTAAATTATGTAGTGTGTCAGAAGACAAGATGATCCTTTCTATGGAAAAAATAAGCAGATAGCAGGGCCCCGGCATGTGGGGGAAGTAGTCATTCATGGGATAGCAGGAGGGAAAGTGCAAACTGAGCAGGAACAGAGCCACAGAAAACAAAAGAAAGGTACAGTGTTCTCTCCTCTGGACCATGGAGGTCAAGTGTGAGTAGAGTCCTCCTCAGAAGGAGCAGCTCAGAGGCTATGTCCATGCAGCCTCACACTCAAGCACAGGGAGGGCATTGGGATAGCCAACCCCACGTCCCCTGGCACCCACCTCTACAGTTTTGTTCCTTGTTTCTCCCAGGTTGTGCTCAAACAATCGCCCCCTGGTTTTTTTGTTTGTTTTGTTTTTTGTTAAATCCTATCTCCTGAGCCAGTGTTGGCCACAGCTAATGGTGTAATTGGGCTATTTTAATAGCTTCTGCCCTGATGTGCCTTTCACAGTGTGCTTGGGAAGGATTAGGGAGCTCTTAGAAAGGACCACCCTGGGACACCTGGCAAGTCCTTTACCCTCTCTGTGCCTTAGTTTCTTCATTTGTACAAAGGACCCAGCTTGGACTTGATACCCACTGGCCCCTCCAGATTTCACTGGGAAGCCATTGTAGACAGTTAGAGGTGGAATGGTGAGCTTCTTGGAGAGGATATTGCTAGCTGCACTGCCCCCACCCCCAGTTTCTCTCCCTCCCAACCCCACTCTACCATTGATTCAACACTGGGCTTTACACATGCAAAACTGGCAAAATGATGGTCTCTGAGAAGAGAATTAGCTGCCTCTTAAAGTAGGTGACAACCCAGAGACAAGCGGTTTCATTCAGCCTTGGTAGATCTGAGGGAGCCCCCCTCCTGGAGAGAGCCTGGGGCCTTAACGCTTCTTCTCAACAGATTGTGGGCTCCGCTCGTTGCCTAGTGACCCAAGTTTGCCACAATTCAGGGGAGCCAGAGAAAGGAAACAGCACTCAGAAACGGATGCTTAGTCCTAGGCGACCTCCTGGCAGGCTGCATATCTCTGTTCCTGCCCTAGAGCCCTACACGACAATTCTGAGGGTCCAGGGATAATCGCTTCCTCGTAGGGACAGACTTAGCCGAACGTGCCACAAGGAGCATGTGTTACTCACAGGGACGCAAACGTGGGTCACCAACTCTGCCTTCAGACTACGCTTGCCCGCCCTCTCAGATTGATGTTGCGCCTTAAAGCTCAGAGTGATCCTGCTGGTTTTTTGTTTGTTTGTTTGTTTTCTGGCCTGAACAATTACAGGGAATCTTGGGGACCTCTCATGTACAGCCCAGATCCATACTCCAGAGTCTAGTCTTTCAAGACCTGAGACTATGGAATCATGTCCAGTCTTGTGTTCTCAGCACCGTTTGACTCATCCATCCCACCAAACCAGCCCACCTGTAATAGTATCAGCCCCCTATCATCTATGAATTAACTTCTTCCTTTAAGAAGGGAAGCCACTGCCCATTTGGCCTCTGCCATGGCTGTTAGCCATTTGCCAAGGCTGGTGAGCTCTTGCAAGAAAGAGATGGCAGCTGAATGTTTGTACAGCTGAGTGAGAGGGATGGACTCACTGGGCTGGGGACTGTGGTTTAGTCCTCCTAGGTCAGAAGGGCAATGTACATTGCAAAAGGAGCTTTCTCTACCCCTGGGAGTATTTGTTTTAAAACTGGATTTGCAGGGTTTACTCTAGAGATTTGCATATTAGAGGGACACTGGGCAGTCTTGGCTAGGCAACCTGCCTTTGTTTCATCTGGTATGAAAAGATCTCAAGCTGCCTCTAACGTCATTGTTCTTTTCTGTGGCCCAGGAATAGAGTTAGGCAGCTTTTTGGACGCATCCTGTGTGCATCCCAGCCTGGGGGGCTTTTAATATGCGTAGTGCTGGTATGTCTCAGGGAAGTGGGGTACTGTAAGGAGAAGGTTATGGGCTTGGAGTCACACGTGGGGTCAGAACGTCCATTACTGTGTGACGTTGGGCCTCTCAGCACCTTTGTTTCCTAACCTGTAAAATGGAGATGACAGCAGCTACTCCTGAGGGTGATTGGAATAAATGCAATGACCTAGCCTATGTCAAAAAATGCCTGAAGCATCCAATAAATATGCTCTTTCCCAAGTGGAGCAGAATTCTAGAAGAAAGCTCATTTACCTAAAGTGCATATTGATTCCTCTCTTTCTACAGGCAAAGGAGTCACCTTTAGGTTTCTATTTCCAACCCAGCCACTTAGGAACCTCAGTGCAGCCTCAGGTGTGTTAGAGTCTCCTTGGATCTTAGCTGTTCCAGCTGCGAAGAGGGATTATAAGACCCATCTCGCAAGGGCCATGAAGGTTTTAAATATGTGCATATAATCAGTAGCACAGTGTCTGGCACCAGGGGACAAAAGCACACATCTGTGCTCCCACAGAGGCGTCACAGTCCCAAAGGCCTGCGTGTGTCTCAGCTCTGAGCATGTCATATCCAAACCCCATCAAACAAGGAGGTTTCAATCCTCCTCCTCCCTTTCCTTTACCGTGGGCACATGGCTGAGGACTCGGGTCCACTAGCCTTTCCTCTGGCATTTCTCATGCAGGGACTCCTCAGTGAGGAGTGTCCTTGCAAGACCAGGAGATGTCCTCTGGCGCTGCCTGTGGAAACCTCCCCCTCTCACGAGCCCCCAGCTGTGAGGCCCTGAAAGCTCTACCCTCACCCCTGCCTGGCCTGTGTGACCTTCATGATGCTCACAGCAGGCCAGGTGGCCACAGGTGGCCCAGCCCTGTGGAGAAACACAGCCTGGACACCTGGTATTCTTGGCTGAGTTCCAGGCCCAAGGGGGGAAGTTACCGTTGTTTGGACACACAAGGGCCCAGGAGCCTGCTTCCTCCTGCAATCAGAGCATCTGTCCTGTGCCAGGAGTGTAGAGATGACTATGGCAGGCTCATGACATAAGGGAATGCAAACTGGAGATAAGATGGGCCAGTTTGGGGCAGGGTGGGAAAAGCTCCAACATCCAGTCAGGAACCGTATTCCGAGCTGGGAGTGACGGGGTTGCCTCAGGAATGCCTCTTTGTGGAGGTGCAGCCATCTTCTGCAGCCTCTGGCGATGGTGCTTGTGACAACAGTTACATCACCATGTTAGAGTCTGGATTTACTCAGGGAAGAAGAGCCAGTGTGTTCGTCCTGGGTGGGTCACATCACTTTTACTCCCAGAACCCAAGCAACTGGGAATTCCCCCGGTGACGGCCATCTAAGAGAGGAAAAAGAAGTCCCAGAACCCGTAAATGTGAAGCTGCACCAATGGCGGCGCTTTGGACTTGTTAACTGTCTTCCAAGTGCTCTTGGGAGCCCAGTGCCATGTGAGTCTCAGCCCAGGTTCTTTGATGACTCCCTTTGGCACCCCTGCTAGGATGGTGGTGATCTCCCCATTTTACAGATGAGAAAGCTGAGGCTCCCAGAGGGTAATGGTGTATGTGAGATAATCTAATATAATGTGAGATGATGGACCTCCTGAATTGTTTAACTATTCAAACATGCTCTCACTAATTAGCTGAAAAATAATTAGAATGCACAGTGAAGGAAAGGTAGTGCAAAATACCCCAATTCTTTAATTTGACAAGAATATTAAAAGATACCTAAAGGGTTGCAAATAAAAACCCCAAAATAAAAATAAAATAAAAAAGCCAGTCCCATGTCCTCCAAAATTACCAGTTCTTATAAAACTAGTGACAGGGACATGATCATTTTTAATGAAATCATCAGATTGCCCAACTTTTCATTTGGACACTTGATTCCCAGCCACATCATAAGGTCCCCTTTTGATTGACCCTCCCCAAGCACATCTGTGACTTGCCTTTCAGTTCACGAATCTCCTTATTGAAAACCTCTGGATCTTACTCTGAGGTTAATATCAGGCTGAGTTTCCTGGAAGTTTCTCCACGAATTGAGCATCTCTTTCTTTCTCAGGATCCCAAGAGCCTGGTAATTTCCCGGTCAACTACAGCAGTGCTACTCCAAGTGTGGTCCACAGGCAGGTGCTGGTGTGTGGGCCCAATGAGCACAGCCATTGAGAGCAAGCATTAGACACTTGGAGGGCAATGTGACATCACCACACCGCCAAGTGTGTGATCATATTCCTGGTCACCCATTTGTATTGTATTCAAAAGGATCAGACCCCAAGGGATTAGAAGTTAAAAAGCAAAAGCGAAAACGGGTCATTCGGCACTGAGAGTGTGAAGAGCACTGAGCTCGCACAAATCCAGCTGGTCACGTCCTCACTCTCATGGTGCCAATAATGCGTCCTGCTGTCAGGAAACAGAAGATAACCTGTATCCCTACAATCATGTTCACCTTCACGCTGGTCTTTGGGGTGGGCTTCAAGGGCCCCCTCTCATGCTTTGAGATGAGTTCTCCATCACCTGGTCTTCTTGTGACCTCTCCAGGAAGTCCCACACGCAACTCTTGGTATTGGCCACTGGTGATTCTGGGATGGTTTCCGTCAGGTGGGGACAGATACGTAGGCGAGCCACTGCTGATTTCCTTAAGGATGCTTTCATCTCATTATTTGGCGCTGTCAAAGAGTGAGGGTGCGGATGCAACTGGGAGAAAGGAGTCTTTGGGGCCCATAATGAAAGACCAGGTGTGGCCATCACCCTTCACCCCCTGGCCAGGTGACTGGACAGTGCCCTGTGCTGGTAGGACAACTGAGTCAGCTTGAGACTGCACAGTCATGTTTCAGCAATACCCGCCAGCAATCTCACAGCCCCTCTGCACGCTTCCGTCATCGCTCCCTGAGTCAGGATTGCGCACGAGCTCAGCAGCACAAATGCTTATTAGCTAAGTGGTTAATAAGGTCTCATTAGGGACTTGTATTTAAAGCCCCAGAAAGTACAGTCTCAATCTCTGCTAGCTCAGGGGAGGCAATACTTGCACATGGGTATCACGGCATCACCGTGGCGCCTTTCTGGAGAAGCACCACAGAGCCAGTCCACACACCAGGCCAGAGGAGACGGCCACACAGGGGCAGTGTGGGCAGGGAGGTAAACCTGACCTCCCCTCCTTATTTTGCTATAAACCCAGGAAGTACTTAGTATTCTCAGCCCCTGTCTGAGGGGCCTGTGTTGGGGGCCTCAGCGAGGGGTAGAACACCAGGCAAACAGTGGCGTCTTGCCCTAAGCTGGTGCACCTGAACATTTCTTGAAAGCAGGAGCCAAGTTTCTTGGCATTTGTGAAATCCTGAAAATGGCAGAGTGTGCTTAGAAGTGGTATCCTAATCTCTCTCAGACTGGGCCAGCTTGGGGGACGGGCTGGGGCAGGGGAGTGACTGGCCTGGCAGCTGCTTCTCCTGGGAAAAGGCAGGCTTTATAAAGGCTGAGGAGGCCCCCTCTGTCTGAGTTGTAGGATCAGACACCCCAGGCAGGCCTACAGCCACATTCTCTACAATGCCCCAGAGCCACACATATGGTCTGAAATGACGGATCCAAGTTGCTGTTAGGTGGGGGCTATCTTGATGAGAAAGGGAGCGAGTGTCTCAGGGTTTTGTCACTCTCCCCAGCCTGTTTGGCAACCCCCTCCCGTTCATCCCCTTGTAGTGCCTGTGTGTTTGCTGGAATCCAATGAGTTGGTCTCAGTGTCTGAGGATGGGCACCACAATCAGGAGTTGGGGAACAGGGGAAGCCTGCTGCCATTTGCTTTGCTGTCCCCTGAACTCCCTGCTATATATTTGAGGCTTTCTGTTCTGGGGTTTGATGTGGCCTTCCAAAAGCAGTCTTGGGTTTAGACTGAGGGCATTCCTTCGCCCACACACACATCACTGTTATTTATCCTCGAAATGGCCATCAGCCTGTGCCGAAGGCCTTCAGCCCCAGTTGCATCTCTCTCTCTGCTGCATCTCCCAGAGGCTGGGGAGGGTCTGCAGCCTCCCTCCCTCCAGGGCCATGGGATCAGGAACCGCATTTGCAGAATCTCATCCTGCGCATGTTTGTTTCCCTGCAGAGGAGACTGCAGCATTCTCAGGTGGACTTTCAGAGCTGGTGGGGAAAGGCGGAGCAGGCTGGGTTTGTTGGGGGGTGTATGTGTGATCGTGCCATGTCTGCTTGGACTGCCAGCTCTTACCCCTTCGCTAGCTCCCTGACACATTGTGGGGGATCTGGGCACTTAGAGGCAGGCATGGGCTACGATGCCCTCAGGAACACAGGAGTCCATTAGGCTGTGCTTCTCTGGGCCCACATGGGACCGCCGCCTCCCCACCCTGGGCTGGCACTCCCGGCACCAGCTCTGGGGCCTGCTGGCCCTGCCACCTGGAGCCTGCAGTGGCCCCTATCATGATCCCTCCACCTGCCCACTGTGGGCTGGCTTCACTCCCATTCCAGACGCTGCTTTTGTTGGCAAGGTGGTCTGTGGTCCTGGCCTGGAGGGACTCAGGTCACACACAGCCATCGCTCCCACGGGAACAGGGCAGGCGGGGCCTGCTGAATTCAGAGGAAGAACGGAGGGAGGAGCCAAGTTCATCTTGGCCCAGCCCCTGCTAGGTGACGGGCACTTTGACAGGCGCCTCACTCAGAGCTTACCAGGAATCCATGAGGCAGGCACGACGATTCCCCTTTTACTATGTGAGAAAGCTGAGCTTAGCCATGGAGAGCTATGTGCCTGGCTTCAGAGCCAGCCCGTGGTAGAGAAGGGTCCTAACCCTTCAGATGTCTGGGAGGTCTTGGTTCCTTAGCTCTTTGTCGCCTTTGCTCGGCTTCTGTGCCTCCCAGGCTTTGGGAGGCTTCGGTGACACAGGTGCAAACATGCCTTTTTGGTGGCAACTGGGTCACACAGTATGAGTTGTCCCAGCCGCTGATGAGAGAGGCCCTGTGGAGGTGCCCGGGTGGAGGTCAGGAGACCGGAGTCAAGTCCTGAATCTTGGGTTTATTAGCTAAGCGGTGTTGGGTAGCTGCTGCTTCTCTCTGGATTTGTTCATCCTCTCTGTGCACCGAAAGGCTCCTGGAAGCCTTCCACCCCCGATGAATGTAATTCTCCAAATCACCTGGCCCACGAGAGCCACAGGCTTCCATTTCTGTCCTTTGCTCCATCTCCAGAGCGCCTGCTGCCTGCTCCTGGGTGGCTTTGCCTCTCCCAGGATGTCAGGTGCTGTTTGCATGTGGGTGTGGGGCCTTCTCCCACATCCAGCCTGTTTGTGTTTTTCTTCTCGGTGCTAACTGGCCTTACCTTTATCTCTGTCTCCTCTGCCTCTGCTCTTGGGTAGCTGACGGTAGGGAAAGTGTCCAGCGGAATAGGGGCCGCAGCTGAAGTTCTGGTCAATCTGTACTTGAATGATCACAGACCTAAGGCCCAGGCCACCTCTCCAGACCTGGTAAGAACGCACGCCCCTCAGCCTTCGCCCACAGACACTGGCTCTGGCCCTCCCAAGCGCCCCTTCTCCTGGACAAGAGGAGCTGAGAATGAGCTGGATCAGAGCAGAGCTGGAGGGAGGCTGCACTTCCTTAAAGACAAACCTCACTCGGCTCCCTGGGGGGTGGTTTCACAAGGCAAAGCATCTTCCCTGCTGTCTGGGGCTCTGGAGAGCTCAGTGAAAAGGCCAGGCAAGGCTGTCCACATAGACATCTCTTATGGTCAATATTTAGTGTCCAAGCTAAGCAGCCCTTTTGCACTGGGTTGAGAATTCAGAAATAAAAAAGCACCGCTTTCCTTTGAATTCTCTCCTTTTCCAAGTGAGACTGCTCACTGCCATCCCCAGCGATCTGAGCAGACAGTTCCTTTGGTTTCCTTTGGTCACGTGCCCCTGGAATCACCCAGGTGCCCCCTGCCCTGGCCCTCCCCTGTTGCATTTAGAAATTTGACCGGCAGCCTAGTGGGCCATGGGACACAGCTTCTCCCTTTTCTGCCATTCTCTTGAACAGTTCTAATGCCACAACCTTTCCTTGACTGACCTAGGTCACTGCAGGGGGGCAAGGATGTAAGACACATTCTTTCAGTGACCTCACTCTAGACCCAGATAACATTTAAGCCCTGGGACAGTTTCCCGGAGAGAGCATCACTAGGAAGGTATATTTGCAAGGGATGCCCTCTCCGTTAGACCAGGAGACGTCACTCCTACCCCCAAAACCCTAGTGGCCAGTCTGGGGACCAGCCCCTCCCAGGCCTGCCTTGTGGTTGGCCTGCCTGCCTGGACGTACAATTAGCAGCAGCACTTGCAGTTTTGGAGTGTGTGTTGGGAGTGTATAGTCCCACGCTCATTCTTTGCTGCAGCTCCTGCAGTGACATGAGCAGCAAACAGAAGCCCAGGAGGTCGCCATGATTCAGGTCGGAAGTTCTAAACGCCTAGGCTTCCCACTGGAAGATGCAACACAAGCCCTAACACATTGCTCTTCTCTCTGGATGTTCTGTGTGTGTGTCCCCCCCAACCCCCACCAGGAAACAATTCGAAAGGTGTTTCCCCGGAACCTGGGTGGCAGTGACACCTGTTACTTCTGTAAGAAGCGCGTGTACGTGATGGAGCGGCTGAGTGCAGAGGGCCACTTCTTCCACCGGGAGTGTTTCCGCTGCAGCGTCTGTGCTACCACCTTGCGCCTGGCCGCCTACGCCTTCGACGGTGACGAAGGTAACCCTGTTCCCCCAGGGACAGCGTCTGGCCCGGGCTCCTGTCCCTCGGGAGGCTCCGGGGTGTCCAGCGTTTCCCAGGAAGTACGGTGTCATCAGGAAAGCTGTTCAGGGAGCCAGGAGCCCCTCTAGAGAGAGAGGCTGCCTGTGGGGGGCGGGGCCTCCTGGGGGAATAGGAAGCTGCCAGTGCTGGTGTACACAGGCAGTGGGGGGCACCTACTGTGTGCTGAATGCTTCGTGTATGTTTTCTTATTCAGTCTCACCACCTTCCATTGCCCCTGTGTGGTCGAGAAACACATGCCTAGCACCGCACCGCTCATGTCATAAGGATTCAAAAAATTATGGCATATGAATGTTATTTATAAAGCCTATATTGTTTTTTAAAAAGACATAATAGTAACATGTACTTTGACAAGTGGCCAATCAGAGGTCATCGATGAAGGAATTGCACTCACTGGGATAAGTGATTGTTTTCTAGTCTTCAGCACTTGATATTTGCGCTGTCCAATATAAGAAGCAGTAGAGCACAGTGCTTATGATTTCATAGCCTCAAACAAAGCTGCCATGTTCTGTTCCCTAACGTCCTGGTCCCTCCGTTTCCTCAACTGTAAAATAATAATAATAATAATAATAATAATAATAATAATAATAATAATAATTAGTACTTAGCTCCTAAGGTTGTTGTGAGGGTTGATGAGTTAATTCATGGGAAGCATTTAGAACAGTACCTGGTATATGGAGGCCGACATCAGTTTTTCCAATTGTTCTCGTTATTTCCATCACTTGTTAAAGAGCAAAGAAGGCTTTTCTGGAAGGCACCCAATTGTCCTGGGCAGTGGCCAGTGGCCCAGTGTGTGTCTCTTCTGGGTTTTTCCTCCCCATCACTGCTGCCATCTGGTCTGATCCTTTTCCATCTTTGAGGGTCCCAGAAAGGAGAAGGAGCTAGAAATGATGTTGCTGTTCAGAGTTGTCCATTTTGTTGCTTGGCGACTGGCTTTGGGAAGAGACTTGGCCTCGCTTTGGTTTGGGGATTATCCGAGAGTTTCGGCCCCATCCCTGGGAGCCCCCGGTTGCTGCAGCCTGCCTCTGAGGCAGCAAAGTGTCCTGTGCGTCATTCCAGTGCCACTTCTTTAAGACAGGTGATGGAAACCGTTTCCCAGGTGTGAGCTGTCATGGGCTTGTTTCCATTATTGGCATTTTCTGACCTAGACAGTGGCGGGCACTTGGATTACGTCTGCCATGCCTCTGGCTTACAAGAGAAAAACCTGTGTGCATGTGTGTTTCTTTTTACAGGCAAGTTTTTCTGCAAGCCTCATTTCATTCACTGTAAAACCAATACTCAGCAACGAAAGAGACGGGCAGAGTTGAAGCAACAAAGAGAGGTACGTTGCGTCTTGAAAGGGCTCGTGAAATGAAAGGCCCCAGGACAGGAGAAAGTTTTCAAGGGTTCCCCCATGTTAGACAAGCGTTTCTGGCCCTGGAGGGACGGAGGCTTACAGATGAGGAGGAGGGCTGTCCTCCCCTCTGTGTAAGGGTCCCTTTGCCTCAGCCTGAGCAGCTGGCCTCTGGGGTGTGTCCCACCAGATACCAGCTCCCAGATGAGTGTCTGTGCTGGCCTCTCATGAGAAGCCCAGAAGAGCTTTCCCATGTGCCAGGGATGAAACCGTATGCCCAGCCATTAAAAAGTTACTGGTCATTCCCTCATGGTCCTTCGTGTCCTGCCTTCTCCCAGCTCTCCCCCATGTGACCACAGGACAATGTTTGCAGAGATGCCTGGTATGGAGCCGACTTTTGCAGTGGTTTCCAAGTCCTTTCCCCAAGTTCTTGAATGTCATCCAAGTGACAAGCCCGCTGAATGTATGGACCGCTCGTTATAGCGCCCCCCTCTGGCAGCTCCTAGCAATACCTTCCACTGCTTGATTAATCACCACCTCTAGCAAAGACCTACAACTTACAGCTTTTTTCAAGTTACACATTAATAGAGGTTTAATGTAGAAAAATAGGTAAATAAATGACAGTATATAAAGAAAGGCAGATCACCCATCACACTCTATCCTGAGAAAACCATAATTATTCTGTAACATGTCCTTTCAGACTCCTTTCTTATGTGAATGTATTTTAGCTTAGTTGAAATCCTATCGCTACAGTTTTATATCCTTCTTTTTTCACTAACACGGTATCAAGAACAGTTTCCCACGACAGTAAAAATTCTTTTGGAGCATAATTTTTGACGCTTGTAAAAAATGGTCACTAATTTATTTAACAAGTCCCATGTTGGTGGGCATTTACATTGTTCAATCTTTTTACCTTATAACTATTTTTACAGTGAGCATCTTTGTGTGTACCTCTTTACCCATATTTCTGATTATTCACTTAAGATAAATCATTGATCATGGGATTGCTGAGTCCAAGGACAGGTGTTTTGAAGGCTCATTAAGCTCTACAGTCAATGTACCCCCCCCCAGGAAAGTCGTGCCCATATTCATTTCCCCCTTAAGCAGTGCACGGGCGTTGAGATTATGGGGGGCGGGGGAGGGCTGGGCCTGCCAAGTTCTATTTTTGTTGGCTCTCTTCATCTGCTTCATTTGAGGGGCCCTCTGTGAGACTCATGGACTCAATACCCTCCCTTTCATCTTTCTCAGGAGGAGGGGATGTGGAAGGCGCAAGAAGCCCCTCGAGGAGACCCTCCCATGGAAAGCTCTTGCGCAGCTGCCGCCATCGTCCCGCCGGCAGGCAGCCCCCCAGGTATCACCACTTCCTCCTTTAGGAAGGCGCTAAGCTGGCCTCTCACACCGTGGGGCCTGCTTCACATTCCCCGGAGCCTGCTTAACTGGATTCGGGGACTCCTGCGCTCCGTGGGCCTGCATTTCAGGGACAATGCTCACAACTACTGCTACACATATGAGCTGCTGAGCCTCGGGCTGCCCCTCCTGTGGGTGTTCTCCGAGGTCCTGGGCTCTATGTACCGGGAGTCTGAGGAGTCCCTCCAGAGCATCCGTGACTGGCTGCTCAGGTGCTTCCCCGTCAAGCTCCACTGAAGGGCAGCCGCCCCAAAGGGCCTTCACATTTCCAGGGTAGATGGTGGTGTGTTTGTAGTTAGCTAAGGCGCTGGCCAGGAAGCCTGGTGTTCTGCAACCCATAAGCCAAAGAGTTTCACGTTGGCCACCTGCACCAGCCTGGTCGGGATGAACGTCTGATCACGGTGTTGGGGCCGGCACAACATGAAGGATTGTTTTTTAAATAGATTTATACTTCTTTTATACCAAACAAAGCGAGCCATATTTCTAGGTTTACATTTCAATTTTTAACTTTTAATAAGCCAAGGGAAAGCATTGTTTTTACTCTGTGTGTCAATTTTTCTAAGCACAGGTTTGAAGTTTATAATTGGCATCACAAGCCCCTTCCACACTGCAGCCAGTAATAGTCACTGCCTGCAAGGTTCATGATTTGGGCTTTTATATAAATAAAAGTGAGCATGCCATCTCCTGCCAGTGCCTTTTGATTTATGTATGTGGATGCCACTTGTCAGGAGGAGGCAATGTTTTGCAACCTGAAAGCATAATCATCTTAGAAGAGTAGAAGGACAAAGTAGAATTAAATATACAAAAGCACAGGGCAGTATGTAGTTGGCAGTTCTATGCCCTCCCAGAGGGAGAAAGACTTTTGCTCCCTTTTTATGATGTAAAATAGTAGCTTGAAGTTCCCTCCCACACCAAGTGACAGCCAGATGACATAGAACCACGGGGTTTTGAGCAGATTGCTGCAAACATGCCTTTTCCCTTCCCACTAATGAGCACTGCAGCAAAAGCCCATGGGCACCTGGCATGCAGGACTCCATCAAGCGGATGCAATACCTGCTGAAGAGAAGCTGTGTCGGCAGGTGGCATGGCCCAGGAGCTGTGATCCCTGGGGCTCCCAGTCAGGTCTCCAGCCCAGGCTGCAGTCTGAGCCAAGGCCAGTCAGGAGCCATGATAGTCAGGCTGAGGGAAGAATCTGCCCTCACACCACATCTTTTGGGACCGAGGGTGTTTGTTAGCACCTCAGGGTATTATTTCTGGAAGCGTGGCCTATCCAGTGAGCACTGCTTACAGACATCCTGGCTGCTCAGCCCCTCAGCCACCATGCATATTTGGTCAGAACAGTCAGACACCATTTATTTTCACACTGTCCCAGCAAAGGAATGTGCCTGACCTCCAGGGGGAAGCTCCCCTGAGTCTTGATGGGCAGAGGAAGCTGGGAGTGGAAGCTGTTTATTGACTAATGCAAAGAAATATGACCTATTAAGGGCAAAAACAGTCACTGAGACTACCTGCATTCTTTGTTCTGGGCATCTGGAGGAGGCTAGCCTCTCTGTGCTCCTCCACCCTGCCTGGTCATGCACAGCTGCCGGGTCTGGCTGAACAATGGAGCAGCTGACAGAAAAAGGTGCCTTGAGTGGCTGGGCCATAGACAGCTCCATGCACTTGTAACTCTAGACCTCCTCTAGATTAAGTAGGATGGAGCCTGGTGTGAATTTGGAGCCAGAGCTCTTGAGGGCTTTGAGATGACAAGTTTCTATAGGGTGGGAAGAAGCGGGAAGGCATTTGTACAAACACTTCCCTGAAGTCCTTGGGTGAAACTGAGCCTGGCTGTGGCCAAGTCCTTGAGAACCGGCTCCTCTGTCCTTGTTGGAACTGTACTCAGTCTGATGACTTGCATTGTGTTCTTCCAAATTTTTGCTGGGATTTTAATGTTCAGCATGGTGGGAGGAGCCCCTGATTCATTTTATGGTTTTTGATTCCAGAAAGTAAATTCTCGAGGTTGCGATGTAAACACAAGCATAGCCGTGTTATTGTTATTATCGTCAGCTCAGGGTGGGATGAGGTGCTCTGTGGGATGCTCAGCCAGAGTGAGAATCTCTGAGAATGTCACTTATGACCATAAAGAGGCTGGTTCGAATTACTCTGGTGAGACAGGGTGTGCCTGTCAGAAGCCTGAGATGTTTGTATGTTCTGAGACTTTGAACCTTCCTGGTGGGCAGCACCAAACCCCCAGTGGATCCCAAGGGGCAGATGCCTCTAAGCCTCCACAACATATTCAAGAGTGAATATGAGACACTAGAGTAAAATTGGGGCAGAGAGGAAATTGGGGGGCAGGGGGTGCTGAGGGCACATGAAGATCTTGAGTGGAGAGCAGTGGCATATCGGTGTGTGCAAACCACACACATCCATCCACTCTTGTGGCCAAGTAGCTGGCCACCACCAGGAAGGTTCATCTGTCCAAAAAAGCAGTGACTTGTTTGGGCAAGTTTCCTCCTTTTGAACGGTTGCCTAATTTTCAACTCCCATGTCTCCTCTTATTGTCAGTTGTTTTCGTTTTTCTGCCCCAACTAAATTCTCTTTTCTGTCTCTCTCTTTCCAACCTTACACTGTGGCCACCAGTTCATTTCAGCCTTCCAGTGCTACACCCACTTCTTGGCTGACACACTTCTGCTCTGAGGTGACTGGTTTTCTTGCCGATTTTCAGAGGGCAGGACTAACCCCTAAGCCGCTTTCCGCACCCCGTCCTCCCTGCTGTGGTTACTGGTTGTGCTAACTGCGAGTGTCTTGCGTACTAACGGACCCATTCGGTGGCATGGTCGGTGAACAGCGTGGGGTGGTGTTCAGCTCGAAAGCCGTTTCCAATTTCACTTACCTCTGAGCCGGCAGCCCAGTCCACGCCAGGTGCATGTCCCGCCCGCCCTCTGTTTCCCTCGTGGCCTGCGCGCATGCTTTTCCAGTTGCACTTACGAAGCCGCTTGCCTTCCTGGGAGGGTTAGCCCTGACTGTGAGACAGCACCGTAGGGAGGGAGGGCTCTGTCACCTTTGAAAAGAACTCCTTTGTCTAGCAGCCTCTGAAAAAGCACATGCATACAAGCATCTTCTTAAATTGGTTCTAATGTAAAGATTCTTAATATCATTGACCAAAACCATAGGTGATTCTTTTGGGAGGGAGTAAAACAGCAAAAATACTCCCAGGCTTCATCACCAGCTGGACCCATGCTTTGTATGTCGAATACATCATCACAATTTCCCCAGCAAAGCCTTTCTCTACTGCAGCCTACACTATAGATCCAAAGGTTTTGCAGTGGCGCTTCTTATCTCTGTTGGCTCATAAAGCCACCAACGATGAAGAAGCTTCAGCGAGAGTATATCATCATCACAGGCCAGGGATGACTTTGAGAAATGACTCAGTTCAACCCCAGGCCTGGAGCAGCCAGTTTCCATGCCCCCATGGCTCTGCTCAAAACACACGTCCCCCCACTGACTCATTACCTAGAGCAGCAGGACTTTCAAAGTACTATTACAGAGAAACCCCACACCTAGTATGGTGGAGCCAGGCCTCGCGGTCTCAGGCTGCAGGTGACTTCTGTCCTGCATGTGGCCCAGCCGTGCTGATCTCTCAGCGTGTCTGCACTGCCCTGCATGCTGCATTACTCACTGCACCGGTGCAGGTCCCAGCCAGCACGGAGTCATTGCTCTCGTCTTATCTTCTCTTGCAGAGTCTCCCTCCCTTTATAGAGTGTCAACCAAAGAGTGCCCTCCTCCCCTCTCAGCCTCGTGCATAGCTAGCCTCCCCCATCTCATCGAAATGCATGGTTGTGACCTTTGGTAGTCATTCACGGTGCCACCTGGAACCCTGTATTTTGCACACAGCAAACAATGTTTAGTTTTATTTATGGTATTCGATGCTGTAAATGAAAATAAATATGGTTCTTTATAAAGCTCATTGTTTCCTCTCTTCTTTGCCATGGAAGCTGCTCAAACCTGAAACACGAGTTGGTTTAGGAGGTCAGTTTTCCCTAAACTGCTGGCGGGACTTGCACTTGTGGTGACATGGTACTCTCTGGGGCTGCGCTGGGCACTCTGAAAGGAAATATTACCCAAGGGTAATATTTGGAAAAAGTCACCGATGCTCCTGGGCCAGGCTTTGGGGTCTCTTTCTTGAAAACTCATGGTACTTTCTGTTCTAGATGCTGCACATAGCTGGTGAGGGTCAGTGTCACCCCAACTGTTGCACCCATTTCCCCCATCATCCAAGCCATGGACCAGTAGGAGATCTTTACTTAGGAGCCATACACTAAATTAGGCTCCCATATAACAAAGGTTGCTCTTACAAGTGTCATGCTGGTCCAGCTGAGTGATGGGTGAAAGGTAAGGAGGAAGGACCGGACATCGGTTTCAGGATGGCAGTGAGCGTGGCAGGTGTGGTCGTCCAGAGGGAGAGACCTTTGTGATCCTAAGAGACCTGTCCTGCCGCCAAAGGCTCAAGCCACTCAGTGCCTTAGGCTGCAAGGCTCTGCTCACAGGGCCACTCTGAGGACAGCACCATGGCAGGCTCTGGCTCAATCCAGGCTGTCCTAAAGGCAAGAAGATTTGAGGCCCCACTTGCCTCCAGAAGCCTGGTCCTCAGCCTCTCTAGCGTGAGATGCCTGCCATTGCCAGGCTGGATGCAGCCAGGCTTCCGACACGGGTATGAAAACTTCATGAGGGCCCTTGCACCTCCAAAGGGGCATTACTGGGGCCCCGGGCCTCTGAGCTCAACTGCAGGCACCTGGAACTGCCTTCAGGGCTGCTTGGGGTCATGACCAAGGGTCTGTACTCTAACCCAGGTGAAACACTCTTCCCCTTTCATGAAAGGAAAGGTGTTAGCGAATGAAGTCAGAAGCTGGGCTAGGCCAGTGACTCGTTCTTTTATTCACTGATCTATTCAAGTATTTGTTGAATGCCTGCCATGCTCTAGGCGTATTCTAGGATGCAGCAGTGACCCACAACAAAGTCCCTACCCCCCCACCCTGCATCTTGGTCTGTATATATCTCTGTGTTGTGTACTAGACTTGATTCGTTTCGTTCACTCGTACATGCACTCATTTGTTAACTACTTACCGAGCGTCTGTGGCGTGCTGGGCACGTAGCAGGGAATGAAACAGGCAAAAGTCCTTGCGCTCATGGAGCTCATAGTTTGGTTTTGATTTTTTGAAGTCAGGTTAAAGCAGCATTTTCCAAAGTGTGGCAATGGAATGCTCGCTCCAAGAGGTGCTTTGTGAATAAAGGGTTCCATAGTCACGGACTTTGAGAAATGTGCTGTACTAATTATGCCAGTGCTCCCAAACCTTAGAGATCCACAGATTCATTCGTATGGTCAAGTCTCTGAGGAATTCTCCAGTAAAGAAGCTTAATTAACTTTGTCCAAGTGGGCTTTCCCCTACCTATTTAAAATGGGTATTTTGTGTGTTTGGGGGTAATGGGGTTTTTTTGTTATTGTTGTTGTTGTTGTTGTTTGTTTGTTTTTTAAAGATTTTATTGGGGAATTGGGGGAGGGGAACAGCGTTGGGGAATCGGGGGAAGGGGAACAGACAAGTTGCTGTCGTTTTGTTCTTCAGTCTAGTTGTGGAGGACGTTGCCTCACTGGCCCAAGTTGGCACCATCATTGTGCTCTTCCCGGGTGAGGCAGATCAGTCGCAGGCCTCTGGACGGCCGCTCATGGCGGCTGCTGGCCGCTCATGCTGGCTACCGGCTACATATGATAGCTTATGACAACCCACTGCAGCAGGGGACTGCAGCCTATGCCGCTGCCAGTGACCCACAGCAGCCCAGCCCCAGATCAAGCTGTTGTTCAGCATCTTAGTTGTAGAGGGCAGTGTCACTGGCCCTCATATGTGGGATCCGAACCGGGGCCCTCTGGCATCCCAAGCCAGCTCTTAACCAACGCGCCACTCGGCCGGCCTGTTGTTGTTGTTTTTGCACATTACATTTTGCATTAAGTGTTTGGTAGAATATTCTTTATTCCAGGAACACTGGATTAAAGACTTAAAATCAAAAAAGTAAAACAATAGAATTAATTATTTATTAGATCATGGGGTAGGACCTTTCTAAGCTTTAAAACCTGTGACAGAAAAAATTACAGAGGAAAAACATGACATAAATCTATCTACATTTTAAAAACTTAAAGCATAACAAACAATAAAATGAAAATATTCCATAGAAAGTCATAATGGAGAAAAATATGAACTAGATGTGATAACAAAGATATTTGTTGCTACAGCATTTAAAAAGTTCGTGCAAAGTAGGTATTCCCAGGCACCTTGCACAGTGTAGGTGATTGTTTAGTATTTGTTGATTAAAGACCCAATGATAAATGGGCAAAGGCCATGCATAGACAGTTCACACTTAAGCACATTTTAAAAGTAAATGCTAAAATGAAAAAGCAAGCATTTACAGAAATGTTCTTACTTGGCTTTCAAAGGAATGTAAACAAATTATGCTGTGCCCACTGAAAAAAAGTAAAGTAGATTGTAAAACAAAAAGTGTGAACTTAGTAACTGGTATTGAGTAAAAATAAATGGGGACAATCTTTTCTGGAAAGCAATATGGCAACAATTATTAAGATCCATAAGAGGGCTCTGACCCCTTGGTCCAGTAATCCTACCCCAGGGAACTGATCCTAAAGAAATAATCCAGCCAAAGAAACAAATCTCCATGCAGCTGGAGTATTAAATAGAGTAAGTGGGACAAGCAGAGTGGGTGGGCTGTTCTTTCTTTCTGTGAACTCATTCACTTTTACAACTTTTCTTTTAATTCCCTAAATAAGTAAAAGAAGTGACTGCTTCTTTGCCTGCCCCGGGGCCAGCTGTTATTGACTGAGCGTTTCCTCCGGGTCAGGCATGGGGCCAAGCACTTTATGTGCTGCACCTCGTAAGCCCTTCACCTCCTCGTGGCAACCTTGAAGTTGGTGCTGATATTAAAGAAGTTCACTGATACCACGGAGATGATTAGAGCAGCATCTGCAACTGTAAAGGAACAGAGAGTCCCAAGGGCCCGGGCCAGGAGTCAGGTGCTGCTCTCAGGAAAGCCTTGGCCCATGGGAAGAGTCCTGGACATGGCCAAAGACCCTTTGTACTGACTCGGTGGCGTTGGGCAAGTCCGCTCTGTGACCTGGGGCTCACAGTGCCTCAGGCATAGGGTTTTGTGCATCAGGGAATGCCCTGAGGGAGACTTTCTTCAGACCTTCTAGTTGAGGAGGGCGCATCTTAGTGGCCCATGTGGGGATTGAACTGGCAACCTTGGTGTTGTGAGCACTGCGCTCTAACCAACCGAGCTAACTGGCCTCCCCTGTTCAGGTATCCTAGATCAGCTGGAGCTCAGAGCGCCTGACCGGACATCCTCAAGTTGGGGACTAAACAGAGGTCTCAGTACACACTGGGTGGCAACATCGATTGTTCTCTAGTAGTCTGATTACCGCAGCCTCTTGAAGGTAACTGGTTACCTCTCTTCAGACACCGCAGCCTCAGCTCTGGCACCGCCATCCCTCCTGCCACCTGCCGGCAGGAGTTTTGGTTTCACTTTAGTTTTGCAATGGACCCAGCTTGACCCCTGTGCCTGGTCCTGCCCTCCTGCCCTCTCACACACTGTGTCCCAACCTCCCTGACCCCCTCCAACATCAGGCACATTCTGTCTTAGAGCGTTTGCACTGGCTGTTCCCTCTGCCAGGAACACCCTTCCAAGCACCTATATGGCTGATTTATTCAAATCTTTGTTCCCATGTCCCCCTCCCAGGGAAACCCACCTTTAACACTGCAACCTGCAGCCCCACTCTCCTGATCCCTTTTTCCCAACTATACAGTATTTCCATAGCATTTATCACTTCCAACCATATTATATAATTCACTTATTAATTATGTGCATTGTTTGTTTATGTTTTCCCCCTTGCTAGGATGTAAGCTCCTCAAGGGCAGGGATCTTTGTTTTTTTTTGAGCACTCATAACCCCAACAGGTAACACATAGTGGGCCCTCAATAAAAACTTGTAGAATTAAAGGAATGGCAGGCCCTGCCTTCTGGCCTGGACCTCGGACTGGGGAGCCTGCAGTCAGCTTGGGCTGTGAAAGGGCTTGCTGGTATCAGTTCATGGCACAGGAGGGAGTACCTGAAAGAAAGGTATGACGCTGTGAGTCCTGTTACCTCCACAGAGCCCTTTGATTGAGTATGGAAGGGAGTTTTGATTTTGCTTCCATTTTGCCTTCCACGGGGCATGATCTTCAGCTTCCTAATCTGTAAAATAACAATACACAGGAGAACATGTTCCTTTGTTGTCTCCCTGGGTTCTGGGGAGAGTGGAAGGGTTTCTAGGCTTGGGGAGAAATAGGAACAATTCCACCAGCAGAATGGGGCAAGGGTCTTCACCCTGAATGCAGCGAGGGCCTGGCCAGAAAAGGGCCTCGGGACTTGGCTCCTGGGGGTGGTGTTGCGAGGACAGACGTTTCCCCGGACGCTGCCTGGCTCTGCCTCTGGAGTCTCATCTTTCGCCCCGGAGCAGGTGTCTGGCCTGAGCACCGAGAGGAAACTGAGATGCTCGGCTGGCCTTCCCTTGGGGAGGCCAGGGGCAGCTGGCCTGGGAGATGCCGGATTGTTCTCACCCTCCACCCCCGTGTACCTCCTCCATGGCAGACCAGCCCCACCGCGTAGTCCTGGATTCTCCCTGTTATCTGACTACAGATAAGGCAAAGTCCAGGACAAAGAGCAGCCAGGCATGAGGCAGGCGGCACAGGTGAGCACACCCGGTCCCTCACCTGGGGCGGCTCTGTGCCCGTGTCCCAGCAGCAGCTAATCCAGCTGACTCACTGCGTATCCCTGGCTGAGTATCACTCTGGATTCCATGTTCTTCCACTCGTGCGATGAAGATGATAATACTGTCCTTTCAGGTTGCTGGGATGTTAGAGGCGATGAACATAAAGCGCTAAGCAGGCACGTGGGCATGGGATGATCAGCTGGTATTGCTTTTATTGCCTTTAGATTACTTCTATTACTTGCACTAGTACCACTGGAACTAGCACTCCCGGTATGTGCATGTGGACAGGAGCCCTCGGGAATGAAAAGAGGTGCCTGGACGTAGACACTTGAGGAGTGGCGCTGAACCCCAGAGACCCAGCTGTAGCCTGTGGCCTGGGTCTTGGGGGACAAAAGAAGGGATGTCCTCCTTTAGCGCCCTTTGCCTGGGCAAGGTAGTGACCAGAAGAAGCACCAGCTTCTTTTCTACAGAGTCTCACCTCCCAGTGTACCCCAGCCACTCCACGGATGTCTGGGCTTCACAGTGAGCGAGGTTGGCCCTGACCTTGCGGTACTAAGGGGTCATCAGTCAGCCACGTCCCCACCCCTTCAGAAGCCCAGGAAGCCACTGTGAGCCCTCACCCTGTTCCTGGGTGAGCAAAGGCAACTCTCTAGGAGGAGGAAGGCGAGAAGCAGACCCATGGGGTGTTCCTTGCAGGTTTGAGTGGCTCCTGAGGTGTGGGGGACACAGGTCTGGTGCCAGTGCAGCCTGGCACAGATCTCCTCTGCCTGCAGCTGCTCCATCGTGCCAGGCTGCTGTCGGCTTCCTCACTGTCCCCTTCTCCAAGTGCGTATTCTTGGCCTGTAGGTTTCCTCGCTGGTCTCCCTCTCTGCTCCTTGTGGGTCCTCCAGTCCACTTTCCACTCTGCAGCCAGAGCAGCCTTTCTAGGAGGGAAATATAACGATGCCAGCCCCCTTCTTCCGGCCCTTCTGTGGTTGCTACTGGAGTGAAACCCACTCTTCACCTTGTCATTCGAGGCCCTCTTTGGTTGACGTCAATGCCATCATGTGCCGCAGGCTTCTTTTATATACCCTCCTGCCCTGCAGCCACATGGACTTATTTTCTGTTCCCAGGTGGATGGCAGTGTTTCCCCACGTTGCTTTCACTCACAGACACCCACTGCCTGGAGAACCTCTCCTTTCTCTGTTTGTTTAAATCCTGCTCATCCTCAAGCCCTGTTAAAACGATGCCTTCAACCGAAAGCGTTCTCCGTATAGAAGTCAGACCTGCCTCCCCTTCCACCTGGTGTCAGCCTCCTTCTTAGATGGTCTACCTTCCAATGTAGATATTTGTGAACATGCCTTATCTCCCCTGTGGGATAGGAAATCCTTGAAGACAGAGGCCATGCCTAATTCCTCTCCCAATCTACAGCATGGGCCTGGGTCGGTAGCATCTGTTGATAAATATTTGTACATGCAGCTCACAAGCACACATACCTGTACTCAGATATAAGCCAGGTATAGAGTCAGGTCTCTACTGCAGTAATTCTGTGTAACAAGCCAAAAATTTCAGTGGCTTGTAATATTTCTTTTCCTTCTGGATGGGCCTGTGAGTTGGCTGGGTGGCTCTGCTTCAGGCTGCATATCGGAGGATGGCCTGGGCTTCTGTGGAGTTGGTTGCCTCCAGATCTGTTCCATGTGCCCACAATCGGGCACCAAGGCGTATGGGGGCAGTGGCCACCTGGGACAAGCTCTTCTTATGGCAAGGAGTGTGAGCCGACAAGCCAAACAGCAAAGCCATTTAAAGCCACCATTCACATCGCATCCACTAATTTTCACTGGTCAAAGCAAGCTAAATGGTCTAGCCGCACATCCATTGGGCAAGGAGGCACACCCCACCTACTCTTGGGAAGGACGGCGCGGTCACAGGACAGCACAGCTCTGTTACGGGGAGGAGTGAAGTACCAGGGACATATTCCAGCCCCTGCCAGCAGCTGCCCAAGCCTCTGGAGGAGGAGCAGGTGCCCTGCGGGGCTGTTCATGCCCACCATCTCTCTAGACCCTCTTCTCCTCTCAGCAGATGAGCCGACCTCCCCCAAGAAGCCCAAGAGTGTCCCGGAGCCAGAGACCAGTGATGTGGAAGGTGGAGTCACCTCTCCCCTGCCTTCCGAGTGGACCTCAGTGAGGATCAGTCCTGGGGAGGATGTGGTTGGGCAGGACGTGCTGGCTGTGTGTGTCCTGGTCACCAGCGATGACAGCAGGTATGCTCAGGCCGTAGCAGGATGGGGGCAGAATGGCTCAGGCAAAGAGATGGTCTTCTGTCTGCTCACTTGCAATATGACCTCTCTCTGCCTCCATTTCCTCATCTGTAAGATGGGGACAATTCTAGCACCTGTCTCAAAGGGAGTTGTAAGATCAGAGAGTTAATATGTAAACTGTAGAACAACGCAAACTAGTTTACATAACAAAGCAAACATTGGTTCATCTGATGGGGAAGTGCACGGTACTCACTTCAAGTGAAGATGGAGCCAGAGGTGCAGACAGCTGCCGCCCCGTGCCGCCCCTCTGCCCTCAGAGTCCAACAGTCCACAGAGAAGCTGTCTCCATGTGGGACTCTGGCAAATGAGGGCCTCAGCACACATTCATAAAACAATGTCTGTATTCAAGATTTCAAGGTAGAGCTCCCACCGGTACCATCCATGTCACATGCCCACCTCTGGGGTTAATCAGTGAACAGGACTGGGGTGGCGTGACCAGTGGACTTGGACAGTCTGACGGATAGACAGCCCACCAAAGCCCATAGGGGGAAAGGGGCAGAGACCTCATATAAAGAAGCATGCTGGATATATATATATATATATATATATATATATATATATATATATATATAGAGAGAGAGAGAGAGAGAGAGAGAGAGAGAGAGTAAATATATTCACTAAAATGTCACTGCCCGACAGGTTCTGTGCTTTGTCACCTGGGACTGTGCTTGTGCTGTCCCCACTGCCTAGCACACCCTGTTTCCACTTCCCCTGCCACCTGAAGTCCTGCCAGTCATTTAAGACCCAGGTTAAATATTCCCCCTCCCCCCTCCCCAGGCAGTCTTTCCCATTCCCCCATCCATTCCCAGGGGAGGCAAGCAGTATTCAAACGCCTGAAGGTTAGGACCAGGTTCCTAACGATGAGCTCACTTTACCCCAGAGAGCTTGTGAGTTATGCCTGGAGACAGGTGAAGGTGAGAGGACCAGCCTTCACACCAGTACTTCATCCCACATTTGCTGGGCTTCTTTCTCCTGCTCTGACCCACACTTGTATTCGCTTGCTAAGGCTGCCCATAAAGTACCACAGACTAGGTGGCTTAAACAGCAGAGGTTTGTTTTCTCAGTTCTGGAAGCTGGAAGTCTGAGGTTCAAGGTGTCAGCAGGGTTGGTTCCTTCTGAGGGTGTGAGGGAAGGGTCTGTTCCAGGCGTCTCTCCTGGGCTTCTACTTAGATGGCTGTCTTCATGTTCACATGGCATTTTCCTACTATGCCTGTCTGTGTCCTAATTGCCCCTTCTTGTAAGGACACCAGTCATATTGAATGTAGACTCACCCTAATGACTTCATTTTAACTAATTTACCTTTTTAAAGACCCTGTCTCTAAGTGCAGACACATTCTGGAGTACTCGAGGTTAGGACTTAATATGAATTTTAGGGAACGCAGCTCAGCTTATAACAAAGCCTGAGGCTGGTGCTGAGTACAGAGGTAACCACACCACTTCCCTTGGCCCAGAACCCCATGATCTGCTGGAGGCAGTGGTGGGCGGGGCACAGCGTGGGTTTGGGGGGCGCGAATTGCAGGCCTCCTCACTCACCCTCTCTCCCTTCCTTCCTTCCAGCTCTGATGCAGAGTTGGACTGTGGCAGCAGTGAGGCCTCTGGTGCAGAGCCCTGTGAAGAGAGACCCCGGCGGCCGGAACCCCCACTCCTCCCAAAGCCCCTCACCCGGCACAGCTCCCTGAGGGAGACAGTCTCTCCGCAGTGCCCCGAGGAGCCCAGAGCTCTGCATGGTGAGCAGAGAGCCTGGCTGAGCAGGAGACAGGCCTGCTAGATCCTGGGACATGGGAGGGAGTAGAGAGCCCGACGGCCAGTTTTTCTTCCTGAAGGACCAGTTGACAGGAGGTCTAACCCTCAGGCTCGGAAGCAGTGGGGCTGGGAATTTTGAGGGTTGGGATGCAAGTGGGGGTGGAAGGACTGGACCCAGGCCCGGCCTCCTTCTTCATGAAAAGCTTTGGAATCTCAAATAAAAAGGTAGCAGAGGGAACTGGCTGGCTTTGTGTATCACAGGCAGGCAGAGATAAGAGGTCTCCAGGACCCTCCCGTGTGGAGCAGTCTCCCTCCTGCCTCCTTTGTGAGTACCTCCTTAGGGGCCCCCTGGCATTCCATAGCCCACCAGGGCAGAAAAGTGGGCCCAGTTGCTCTTGGGCCACATATAGCCCTGGGCAGCACAGCTTCCCTGGGGCTACTTACTGGCAGCACAGGGCTGGGACCAGTGCTTGGGGTTTGTGGAATGCACCAAACTACCTACACAATAATAAACGCACTTTCCCTGAGTACCTGTAATAGGCAGGGTTTTTCCCATACCTGGCCCCATTTCATCCTCAGGATGACCCTGTGAGGTAAGTAATATAGAGCCCAAGTTTACAGGTGACAAAATGGACAGTGTTTTTCCAAGGTCTCCCAGCTGGTAAGCAGTGTGGCCCAGGGCTGGGTGCCCCTCAGAAGTAGTTGTCCTTAAAAGCCCAGCTTGTTTTAACAAAGGTGGCCTTGAAGAGAGCGTTTTGATTCAGTCAACAACAAATTGTGACCTCTGGGTGGGAAGAACAGGCCAACAGAAAGTTGCCACCAGCCGGACAGACCGCCTCAGCTGCCCCCTGCCAGCCCGAGCTCCGCTTGTCCTGCACTTCCCTCTGGTGGCTGAGAGCAGAATTTCCACCTCTGTCTCTCTGGGTTCCAGCCTCATTTATAAACACGAAGACTGCCTGCCTTTCATTCCTTCCCTCCATTTCTCCCCTCTCCTCAATTGCCAGGGGATTTTAGGCAACTTACAAAAAAAGACATCAACCAAAATTGTATATCTATGCAAATAAAAGATAAAGCCTCCAGATCAGGGTTGACAAAACCAGTTTAGGAGGAATAACTCCAGAATGGAAGACTGTAGTCCTAAACGGTTGTTCTCAGAGAATCATACATTTCATCCTGAATTTTCTGGCAGCCAGAATTAAAAAGGAAATAGATAATTATTGTCATGGTTCATGAGGGGAAAAACATATTGGTTCACAGCAGCAGGTCTGAGCAGGCACCACTTTTCCTAATGCTTCCTCTGTAGAAATTTTCCAGCTCATGTCAGATAGATGATACTGAGAGGTGTATTATATCATGTCTTGAACAGCGTCTCTGCAAAATATGCAGCTGTGATTTCCCTGAGACTGTTTCTTGCAGGATCTTTGGCTGGCAGGTGAGGGGAGGACAGCAAAACGTGACTCGACAAGAGCAGTTCTCCCAGGGGAAGGAGTGGGGTGGGGTTGAAAGAACAAGGCAGCGTGGCCAAAGCGTTTTGTTTCTGACAGTCCAGTTTAATTCCAAAATAAAATATAGAGTAGATAGAGAAGTGGATAGACCTCATGGCTTTCAAGCACTCTCCTGTCGATTTCATCTTCATCCATTGTGGTTTTGATCGTTGCTACAAAGACCACTTTGTAAGGTGAAAGTCCCTGGCATAGTCTAAGGGCTGTTTTGTGTTGCTGGTTGTGGCGACTCCATCACTTTACCAGATAATGTAGGGTTGACGTCCTGTCGTGGGTGTTAGGGAGCTTCATTGATCACAGTTTTCACCTGGATAAATGGCTCAGAGGTGAGCCAAGGAAATGCTGGACAAGACCAGGATATTACTTTTAAAAGAATCCTGGTGTGTACACCATGCTCAGAGCAGCATTATTCACAGTCACCAAAAAGGGGAAATGACCCAGCTGTCCATCAGCAGGTGAATAGATAAATAAATCGTGCAATATCCACACAACGGAATGTCATTCAGCCTTAAAAAGGAAGGAAATTCTGACACATGCTACAACAATGATGAACCCGAAGTCATTATGCTAAGTGACATAAGCCAGACACAAAATGACAAATATTTATGATTGCACTTCTATGCGGTACCTAGAATAGTCAAAGTCATATAGACAGAAAATAGAATGGTGGTTACCAGGGTTTTGGGGAAAGCGTGGATGGGGAGTTATTTAATGGGTACAGAGTTGCAGTTTGGGTTGAAGAAAAAGTTCTGGAAATGGTTGCACAACAATATGAATATCCTTAATGGCACTTAAAAATGATTGAAATGTAATTTTTGTGTTATATACATTTTACCACAATTTGGAAAAAAGACTCTGGGACTACCTCAGCTCATCAAGGAGCCTATTGTCTCCCGAAAGTTCCTTACCATAGAGCCTCCCCAAGATAGTGGTTGGAAATATAACTTAAGGCCTGTGTTATCAAGGCCATAGAAAATGCTCAGTAATGTTCTCATAAAACACCTACCGTATTTCCCCATGTATAAGACGCGCCCATGTATAAGACGCACCTTAATTTGGGGGCCCGAAATTTGAAAAAAATTGTATTACATAAAGTTATTGAACTCAAGTTTCATTCATCATAAAATTCATACAACTCCTCATCACTGTCAAAACTCCCAACCATTAGCTTGTCCTCATCTGTGTCTGATGACAAATCACTGTCTTCATATATTGCCTCATCTTCAGTGGGAAATGCAAGTAAAAAAATTTACAACCACTGTATAAGACACACCCAGATTTTAGACCCCAAATTTTTCAAAAAAGGGTGCATCTTATACATGGGGAAATACGGTAATTTAGTGATTCTTAAAAATCTTGTTTAAAAGGCATGCCCCTAGCTTCCCACCTTTAGAGATTCAGATTCAGTGCAAGTATCTGCATTTTATGTCAGCGCCCTAGGTCCTTTCATGCAGGAGGGCCAACCAAGCCCTGCACTTTGGGAATCACAGACAAGCAGCTTCCTAGAGGCCTGCCTAGGTGAATTAGCTGTAAAACGCATGCCTGAGCAACTAAATGAATTGACTAGTGCATTGTGCTCTTGGACATAAAACCAGTTAGAGTTAGGAGGGCACTCTGCCCCCAGATAACGCTAATTTAGAAAAATTGGTATTTGTCCATTTTTTTTCCCGGCAATAATTTTATAACAGGATATTCCAATGGCCTATGAGGGACACTACCAGTTTGTAACAATAAAATGAAATCAGCACCATATAGCCCAGTATTTACTCTCTGACTCCTTTTGTAGCGGTTCATTCACTAAGATCTCCAAAAGCACTCCCTTAAAATAAATATGAATAAATAAAGTCAATATAAGTAAAATACAAGCTAAAAACAAGGGAACAGCCCTGCTTTATTCTGCTCAAAATTATCGGATCAAATCACTACTCACACTATTGTTCCTCTTGTGGCAAAACTGTGTGCACGTGTGACCTAGGAACACCAGTGACGGAAAAACCTCTCATGAATGTCGGCCATTTCTAATAAATTACATTCGACAATGTTAAAAGCTGAGGCAAAGCAGTAAGACTTTAAGTGCGCTTCTGTTTCAGTCTGCAGCTGTGTTTGAGGCTTACTTGCTCCTTATGTAAAACAGCCAGCCTGGAAAACACTGACCTGCACTTGGTGTGTGGAAGTGAACCAAAACTGTGGGCAGACTGTTCATCCTGTGATGGGAGATGGGGAGGCTGTACCCCAAGTCTGTCCACACAGGCTCCCCTCAACCCCATGGGTGTGATTATGAAAGCAGGCCTGTGGGATTGGGAACCCTCCAGGCTGAGCAGGCTCAAAGCATGTCCAAATAGAATAAGGGAGGGATAGGTGCCAAGAATCTAAGGAGCTGGAGGATCTGGTCTGAGGAAAGGAAGCACCCAGGCAGCGGTTGACACGTGCGCAGCGCAGCCTAGCTGGTAAGCATTGACACCCAGCTCTGAGCACTGGCAGGGACTTCCTACAGAGAGAGAGGAGGGGCTGTGTCAGTTGGGCCTTGGACTCAGAGCGCTGCATTCAAGCCTCCCTACCCTCATTCCACACCCCCATCACTCCCGTGTGCTTCCTTTCCATGCCCCATGCTCACGCCTGTGTGAGCATTCAGGCAGGCTCATCCCCACTCTTCCTCTCGAGGCTGTGGTGGAGCCACCACAGGGACCTGGAGCTGAGGCCAAATCTTAGGGCCCAGGGGGAATTTTCTTCTGCATGTGATGATCATTTTGCTCAGCTGATTCTCAAGGCCCAGCTGGGTGGAGGGTCTTCAGTACACAGTTCACAGCCTCCTGCAAATGGTTTCCATTGGAACCAAGGCCAAGAGGAGGTTCGCAGCAATGGATTGTCCAGAGATTCAGTTAAAATAGGTTCCCAAAGGGGTTTCCGGGCTCTGAGGGGAAGGGGGAGAGTGGGTAGAGCTTTCTGCAGCTTCCAGGCTTCAATGAGAGCAGCTCCAGTTTTATCTATCACATACAAATATATGGGACGCTGATGTGACACTTCAGCTTTGAAGAACTGTGCTAAAAAGAAAAAGTGCATATATGCGTGTATATTTATGGGCATATATGTATATGTGTATATATGTGTGCATATAAACATGTAAACATATATATGCGTATTAATGATGGGCAAGTTAGAATGACGGCTCATAATTTGAAGCATTTTAATAGGTGGTGGTACCTGTCCCATAGCAGAGGCTCAAAAAATATTTGGTGAATTAATGAATGAGAAACTGGAGGTATGTGCTATAGGGATAGGAAGGTGCAGTCTGAGCAAAGGAAGGGGCTCAGTCAGCTATGATTATTAGCTGATTAACTTTTGGTAAATGGACCATAGGAGAAAATGTCCTGTTTATTCTTCACATTTAACAGATTTCCCCCCTCCCCATCTTCCCTGACCCTTTCTGTTTTCCACTACAGCTCTGCAACGGGCCAACAGCTTCCAGTCCCCAACACCCAGCAAATACCAGAGCTGGAGAAGAAAATTCCAGTCAAGTGAGTCATGAACTCTCTAGGGGTGGAGGTGGGGGTGGGGATGGGCGTGGGCAGGAGCCCTCTGACTAATTCTTGGGGGCAGCTGTCCTCATTCCTTACATGTCCTCTCTGACCTGACTTCCTAGATGTGAGGGGCAAGAAAAGAAATACAAGGTTGACCCTATTTTTGCTGCTGACTAAAGGAAGAGTTTTCTGAGGGATTTGGGACAGTTTATTTCCCCTCACTCCCCACTCTGGAATCATGGAGTCTTAGCACTGTACAGTTAACACTTGGAAGGGACCTTAGCCCATCAGCTCCAAGCTTCTGGAAACATGAGGAAACTGAGGCACAGGGTTGCTGTATGTGTTTATTTAGTACCCTGGAGTTGGGCTAGGGGCATCATCTTAACCTCATGCAATCGCAGGCAAAGCAATGAAGGAAGACACACACACACACATGCACGCACGCATGCACGCAAGCACGCACAAATGCACAAATACATACTGCTGTGCTCCTTTTAATGAGCAGACTATATGGTTCTAGGATCCTAGGGAAGAGCAGGATGGGCGTGGACCAGGGCCTGCAGCGGGTACCGAGGCAGCAGGCTCCCACCAGGGGGCGCAGTGACCACGCATACAGTTGCACAGCATCGCGGGGCTACCCACATGGCTGGCGGGGCAGCAATTACAGAGCCGTGATTCTCTCTCTGATCGGGGAAGAAGGGCAGAGACTCTTCATCCAGTTCCACGTCCGTTGCTGCCTTCCACCTCCTCCTGCCTCCACGCCCCACCGCGGGCCTTGCTTTAAGAGCGGTGGAGCCAGGAAAGCCTTGGGTCAGACGAGTTTCTAAAAAAGAAACGCTGCTGTAGGTGGAACAGAGTGCTAATTTAGTTGACTCCTGCTTTCTGAGTCAGCGCTGCCTCCTGGCCAGTGAGTCATTCTCCTGACAACCCCCAGACCCTCGGCCCCTTTCGCTTGGGTCAGGCTGGGCCAGTGGGTGCTTCTGGAGCTGGACCAGGGCTGCACACCTGGGCGGCACCTCACCTGCGGACAACCTATAATAGTTCTTGAATCGTCTTGCTGCCCAGGCAGTGAGAGTGAGGGGAAGGAGCCAATTAATGTTTACTGAAGGCCTGGGCCAGGCCTTTTCCACAAGGCACCTCATTGACTGCCCCGCCACAACCCCTCCCCCAGTCAGGGGAACTTCTTCTTCTATGGGTGGGTCCATTTCTGCTCTGGGTGCAGAGTCCATCCCAGTGCTTCCAGTCAACTTTACTGAATGCCACCAGTGTGAGGGGGTCATCCTTGCCCTCAAGAAGTTCCCAGTCTGGGATGAGAGCCAGGAGTCTGGTGGGGGACCCTCACTGCAAGGTCAGGGTGCTGAAGGAGGCACGGGACAGAGGGGACTGCTCACGGCAGTATGGTTTCTGGGATTAACTAGACACAACTATGGTTAACTAGACACAACTGGGACCTCAGTTGTGTCTCGTTAACCCAAGAGTATCAGGCGTTGGTTCTCAGTGTATGTAAAAGCTGGCTGGAGGGCAGGCCTTGAATTTGAATCATTTCTATGGTCTTGGTGCCTAGCATGGGCCTGGTGCAAAGGAGGCACCCAGTCCTTCCTTCCTTCCTTCCTTCCTTCCTTCCTTCCTTCCTTCC